TGTGGGGGCGGTGCTTGTGTTCATCGTGTGCATGCATATTGGCATAGATGCTCGAGACGCCGGATCTGATGCAAGTCGGCACGAGGTTGACCTCGTTGGTACACCAGATGCTTGGGAGAACAGCTGCTGGCTTGTGGTATGGAGTCGGAACGATCAGTTGGTATGGAATGCTCGTCGCCTTTTGTCTCTCATCCTACAGGCAGTAAGGGCTTTTCCCAAGGAAAATTGGGAGGCGGGTCCTACCTACTTCGTAGATAAGTAGTATGTAAGTCACATTGCGATGAACTCCGCAGGAGAGAGACGAGCTACTTGTCTCAGCTTACATACGGAATGGAAAGACTACCACAGCAGCTATGCATGCAAATTTCCCATTGCGCTTAAAGAAATCCCAGAATGGCAAATTGATAACCTTACTTTCCATGTCTCCCACTTCCATGCGCGTAGCTACCTAGCTTGAATCGTTCTCTCCTTTCTTCTTCTTCTTCTTCTTCTTCTCTCGCTCATATATACTACGTACGCCCCGTCCTCTTTTCAACTGCTTGACATCTGAGCGCGCGCGGGGGAACTGACTACGTATCTTGTTGAATATAAGTACGTGCGAGCTCCGTACAAGTGTCGGACATCATCCATTTCATTCGTCATGCCGATGTACGATGCGATATAGGTGTGAACTAAAATGAACCAAAATGGTACGCTGGCTGACACTCTTGGCTCCGAAGGGACCCAGGATTCGAGGCATCAGATGGACAGTCCCATCCACACTGTGTATCAACCGCCAACCCGACCCGCGAGAATTCACTGATTGACTGACCGACCGACCGACCGAGACTAATTCGCAATATGCTCACTCCATCCCCGCCGACGGACCATCTAGGCAGTCTAGGTAGGATCTACTGAATAGACGTACAAGAATCCACCAGGCCACACGGGCTGCGGCCATCTTGGTTTCCGGTCTCCACCCTCCACCATTACAGTAATCAATCACCTTTCGAATACCATCTGGAATGCCTACTCTACCGTACGCTACGGTGTTCGTTCTATCTCCAGTAGGTATGCTACGGTACGATACATATAACGGGAACACTCTCGGTGGCTAAATACGTGTTTTTCTCAGCTAGGAGACATGTAGACAAGTTGCTAGTCACTTAGCACCATGGCGTGCGGACGGTCCCCGATGAAGGCCGACTGCCTACCTGTGTTGTAATGTACTGCATCCATCAGGACCAAAAATGATAGAAGAAGAAAAGCGGCGAAATCACCACCAGCTCTAATTGGCCCTCTCAAGCTGTTCTAGAATACCTCAGCGATCTGGCCGGCGCTTCTAATGTTTTTGGCAAGGGAAATGACCGTATGATGAGGTAGCAACCAGTTGTTGCCGTTCTTATGTGCTTAGTATGCGTACTTCGTACAAGTACAATTTCCAACCACGTATCGTGGTCTTCCCAGGTGACACAGTCCCCCCCGCATCTACTTAAGTGAGTAAGAAAGTGGCGAGGTAGGCTCGGTAGGTATCCATCACCTCTTGAGATGTGCCCCAAATTCAACGGCTAACCTTCCCAGGCTTGCTTTGAGGATACCCATACTCATGATGAGTGGCGCCTCGAGCTGTTTTGTAACAATCTCACAATCAACTCACAACTATACATGCTAAGCACAAACCTTCAACTGTTGAAAGCCCTGCGCTTTGCAACCAGACCGCATGCATGCATGGTACCAAGGCCTTCACCAGTGAAGTGTCCGGAGACGTTGAATATGAGAAAAAGCCCGCGCGCAACGGAGAGAGAGAAGGACGTCGATCCATCTTCGAATTGCCAGGGATGCCCGCTGTATACGATATCTTCTCTAGGGATACGCCCCTCGACGGCCCCGACTAGCACCCCTGGATTACACGCTACCGCTAACGAGCCACACTGGGGCCTTGTTGTGTGCTACCGTACAACGTTGGCCCAGCCAACTGAGAAACGACGCCCGAGAACCAACCCCTACCAGACGCTACCAGTGTCCACCAGGAGTGTACTTATCTATCTACATCGGCTACCTGGCAAGCTACCTGGCACTGTGGATAGTGTGCACTCGACTAGGCTAGATCCATATCTGACAGGGCTCTCGGGCAGGGGGCTAATGCTGGAAAGTAGCGTACGGTGGATCTTCCTGATACGTACCCCGTGCCTACCTAGTAGGTACCGACTTGAGCGCTACCGTGATGGGAAGGCAGCGGATGTATCCAATTTACAGGGCTCATTCCAGCCTCCAGATCCTGCTCTAGTTCTAGAGTCTCGCTAGCGCAATCTCCGTCCCGAGCCAGGCAGGTACCTACTTGCAGACAACGTACCTAGTAACTGGGTACATATGGCAGAGGTGCTTCAGCGGGACAGCAGTACTATGTACTATGTACGACGGCTGTGAAGATTGGAACCAGGAGACCCTACCTGGCCTCAGTAATCTGTCGCTGCGCGGTCCAACCCAACTCCACTTCCACCACCTCTTGCACCATTTGCATTTGCACCAGGTAAATTCATTGAATCCCACCCATGTTTTTACGCTCCTCCACCTTCACTTTGCCCTAAGTACTTACTAGCTTTTCTCGTCAAGGATAGAGCCAGGCGACCCAGGCACACAAACCTAGCAAAATCAGCAAGAAGTCGTGGGACGCAGCGCAGGCTAGCCGTTCCCTCGCTCCTGCCCATCCTTGCAGCTCGGATGGACAGAGATACCTATGTATGTGCGTAGGTACCCTGTTAGCTTCTCATACAGTAGGTAGGTACATCTATGGTAGGCACAGAGCCTTCAGTATTGCAGTTGTTCGCTAAATGTCCGTACCAAATACTGACAGCTCCGTTATACCATAGTGCAGAGTAAGTGCCTACCTATACCACCGTAGTAGACACCTTACATAGGTATCCTACATCTCTACATAGTAGGTATGCAGCTTACAGTATCTGCGGTCCATGCCTGCCTACACTAAATATCTAGAAGAGAATGCTTTGAGTGTTATGCACATTTTAAGTTGCGAGTTGGCCTAAGTACTTAGGTGCAAACCCAGTCTTCACTTACAGTACTTAGCTACATTAGCCACCATCGGTAACAGGAGCCTAGCCCAGTGCTGCTAATACGCACCCCAGCCATATGTACCTACAGTATTTACGTCCCTAGTAGTGAGGGACGAAAGTACAGAAGACAGGTACCTACTTAATGGGTAGCATGGTACTAGCAGTAAGTGAGCAAGTGGCAGGTCAAAAGGCCAGTAGGTAGGTATCGAGTGCTGATGATAGCACTGGTGTGGGTAGGTAGGTACCTACGATCCAGCAATTCTGGGCTGCTAGGGTATGTATCCTACAGCTGACCTCCTATCACTGAGGGTTCCATAGGCAGGTACCTACCTAATGTATGGAGTACTGTACCTTAGGTACACTATCTCCCCTCCCCTCTCCCCCCCCAAGGACCCAAAAGTTCCTTTGCTCCTATACCGGGCTGAGTACCAGTGGGCTGCTGTAGCGTACCTATAACCAGCATACATGGGTAGAGGTACATCCTGCCCGTACCCAAGTACTTCTCGACGGTACCTACATACTCTCTCCATCCATCCTATCACCTTCTCAGTTAGCCAACCGATCTGTTCGCTCTCACTCTTATCCATCTCAACCTCCTCCTTCTCTTCTCCTCTTCCTCTTCTACCTTCCAGACTCCTCACCCCCGACAAGGAGAGACTTTCTTCGTCTTGTCTTCTCCCAGACTTCCTCTCTTTCTCTCCCTCTCCTCCTCTTGTCGTCTCTTCCGCCTCTCTTTTCTTCACTTCCGATCTCCCCAATTCTTCCGGGTTGTAGGTCACTCGAGGGTTAGAGCTACAAGGTTAGTCGCTTCCGTTGTGGATTCCTTGATTGGCAGCTTGGTGGCCGTGGAGCTTACCAACAGCACATGCTCTCCCTACAAACTCTAGCTGTTCATGCCAATCATACTTGCCGTTTCTCCGGAAGCTAATCTGCTCCTGCACGCCTAGAGTTTACGACGCTTCCGCCCATTAAGTTAGAGGTTGAGCCCATTGTCGATGTCCAGGCGGCTCTGTTTTGTCTTTACGCGTCAGGACCCGAGATTTGTGACATTCGAACGAATCAAACGATTACGATTCATTTGTTTGGCCTGATTTTAAGCCAGCATCTTTTCTCTTGTGTCTGTTACGTCGATACGAAAGCATACTGCTCGGAGGTGTGGTTTTTTGCGAAGAGGTGGAATAAGTCTTGCTGTATCAAGTCATCAAGCATCGTTTTTTGGCGACTCGGAACTGTTATCTGAGATACCCCCTGGAATTTTACCTTTCGGGACCCAATTGGAAGATTCTTGCTCCAGAGCCTATGACCTGGCACAACACCACCTACTAGCGCTGACTTGCAAGCATTGACTGGAAGGTTTATTTATTGTCTTGTTTTTGACTTCTTGTGGTTTTCACGATTTCGGAGAAAGCTTTTATCATCCCGAGGATCCCTAGGTGTCGTTGTCTTGGTCATTAACTCCTTGAAAGGACTCGATTACGCGGCTCCTAGCAGTTCCAGTTTAAATTTGAGGCCATTGTAGCTGGCCCGTTTCAAGTGATAAGAGTTCAGTTGCCCACGCTCTGCAATTGGGTCTGAACTTGGACCCTCCTGAGTCGCTCAATTTCAACTTGTTGAACCGCAAAGCTGGATTTACCACCGATTTCTTACCTGCCAACCCGGGGAACGTCTGATATACCATACTACGGTGCTCTTGCAACTGGGCGCCCGCCATATGTGACTGAAAAGCTACCATCACTTCCCTTGCCACAGCCAACGGCGGCGTACTCACCAAGCGCATCATCTCCCCGGGTTAGCTCTATTGCATCATCAGCGAGCTCGAACGGCGATTCGCAGTCTTCTTTCACCTCAGTGTCCTCCAACGGCCCAAAGACCCCCTCGCCAAGTCTCCCAACTTCGACAGCAATAGCCGGGACATCCCACGGCATTAGCGGTTTCGAGCAATACCCAGCGATGAATCCACAACCAGACATGTACTACCAGGCTCAGCACATGTCTGCTGGTCCAGCATCAGCACCGCAAACCGTGACTTCAAGTGCAATGCCTCAGTATGGACACCCTCAACCTACTCTGTTACAACCTGGCCCGCAGTACTCTGCTCCGCCATATCCTTACAATTACTCCAATGGGCTGCCATCACCTCAAACAGCACCACCAGCTGTTTCGGCGCCGATGGGACCGGCCAATGTACTACCACTCCCAGGAGTCCCCAATCAGTCAGCAATGCAGAACAATTATCAAGGGTTTGACACAAGTGGACAAATTGCTCCTCCGGGTATGAAACCTCGGGTGACTGCAACGTTGTGGGAAGACGAAGGAAGTTTGTGCTTCCAAGTCGAAGCCAGGGGCATTTGTGTTGCTCGTCGTGAAGGTGCGCTGCTCCACAGAAATATTTTTGGGCCTTGGAAACTGACTTTTCACAGATAATCACATGATCAACGGGACGAAACTTCTGAACGTGGCAGGAATGACACGTGGAAGGCGAGATGGTATTTTGAAAAGCGAGAAAATCCGACATGTTGTGAAGATTGGGCCGATGCATCTAAAGGGCGTATGGTATGTTTGCGCTATGCGTTGTTTAAAGTTTCAAGTTGGTTAATTGATCGTCACAGGATTCCTTTTGAGCGCGCGCTAGACTTCGCAAATAAGGAAAAGATTACTGAGCTACTATACCCGCTATTCGTGCATAATATAGGGGCACTTTTGTATCACCCAACAAACCAGAACAGAACAAATCAGGTCATGGCTGCTGCTGAGCGCCGGAAAGCAGAAGTAAGCCAGATGCGTAATGGGCCCGCTCCTGGGTCTGGTCCTGCCCAAGGACCATCGCCTCCTAGCGGCGTGTTGCCGTCAATACAACAGCACCACCACCACATAGGACTCCCCGGCCCCCAACCTTTACCCTCGCATGCCGGTTCCGCACGTCCATCCCTTGACCGCGCTCACACTTTTCCTACACCTCCGACAAGTGCTTCGAGCGTGATGGGAAGCATGGGTGCTGCCGAGAGCTACTGGGGACAGCAAGGCATGAATGGCGCCCAGGGTACTAACCCGATGTCTATCGACACTAGCTTGAGCAATGCTGCTAGGTCAATGCCGGCTACTCCCGCCACAACTCCTCCAGGCAACTCATTGCACAGTATGCAGTCGTATCCTCAAGCTACTCAGCCATATGATAATTCCCGTGGCGTTTATAATCATTCAACGCAGCAAGCGCCATATCCGTCACACAACAGCCCACCGGATAGAAATGTCTATGGGCAGAATAATTCTTATATGAAGAGTGAGATGGGACCCCCTTCAGGACGACCCGTTGGTGCTGGTGTGACAGAGAGTTCAGATGTCAAGCCACCCAATGGTATGTTACCGCATACTGATGCTGTTCCGCATGCCACTGGTGAAGATGAGGCAGAGCATGAGGCAGAGTACACACACGACAGTGGAGCATATGATGCCAACCGAAATGCTTACAACTATAACGCTCCTCCTGTTGCACCTATGTCGGGAGACCATGCACATTTATCATCAGATATATCCGGTTCTCCGGGTCATCAAGCCCATTCTGGTCGCGCTACTCCTCGAACCGCCGCACCACCCCAGCCATATTATGGGCAACCCACAGGATACAGTACACCGCCACGAGTGCCTCCTTCGTCCAGTAACTTGTATAATGTAGTGAGTAACGATCGGGCAGCACCTAATGGAGCATCTGCCTCTGATGTGTATGGCTCCCAAACGGATATAACCCCTTCGTTGCAGAATGGTTACGCCCCTCCCTCAGTTTTGAACGGCGTATCGGGTCACAAACGAGGACGAGATGATGAAGAGGAACTACAGCGTCCTTCAACCGGCAGCCTAGATTTGAAGCGTCGGAAAACGCTAGTTGATGGCACAATAGTCCCTCCAGTATATGACGCAATGAACAGACCGGCTTCAACTGTTGGAGGTGCTCGGCGGCGGTAATGTCGATCCCACGCGTGAGCTGTGTTCTATACAACCCGCCTTTCTCTTACTGGAACTAGGCATCTTCTAAGCCACGGCTTGAGGTATCCAATCCTCAAGCCGAGGCAAGTGACTCATTGTTACTTCACATTCCTTCCATTCCCTTGCACAACTTTCTTGTACTGCTTACGCTCACCTGATCATGCATATGTGTCTGCATCATCGGGCGATAGCAATTACCCTTTACGAATATGACGACCTGAGAATTGGTACCAAGTATCATTGGGGCTGTGTACATGTTTCACGAAGTGATCCATCCTTGGGTGGACATTAATTCTTCAATATGAGATAATACCCTCGTCCTAGCCGGATTAAACGAGTTACTCGACCAAGCCCGCTACGCCACAATTACGACATCCGAGGAGGGTAATGTTCATGATCAAATTATTTGTTTTGATGCACGCACACCCAGCTGCTTTGAAAACTGCAGGGTGGTACTACGACCTTTTTTTTTTCTTAAGTCTTTGCTCATGAATGATGAAATGACCCATTTTCTTCTGTCTTTAAAAAGGGACGGTGTCCTCGGACGTGTGTTGTTGGAAATGCCTCTCATGGTATCATGGTAATGAACTTGACGGACTAAAAAGCCTGACTTGTTTTGATACACAGTCAATAGACCTAAGCTACATACAACTTCACCAATGATCAATTACAAACTTGAAAATTGTTCACTGGCATCCTGGCTACGTTTCCAAATAGTGCCCCGCGACCCCTAACACGATTAGAGAATCCCCTTTTGCTGCCGAGGTGAACGGTACTGGCGCGAAATTTTGCCCACTGATACTAGGGGTTTTTCATTATGAGCTGTGCAGGCATAAGGGGGCTTTCGGAATCACGAGAGCGAAAGAACTGTACTGCTTACATTTGCTCATCTTACATATTATGCCAGGGTACTACATGAGGATTCTTTGTCATTGACGCATTCAGAAAAGGGGCGGTCTCATGAGGATAAGGATATGTGCATACAATACATTGCCTGTCGACAGTCTTGCGAGGAGTTTAATTAGCAAGAGCCCTACGGCGAATTGTCAAAAGTCCGCCAAGTGCGAGTTCATATAGCCCATGTATAAGCTAAACGGAATGTCACAATCGATTGTTGGTCACGGTATCAACTTCTTTATCAGCGACTTCCGACGGGACGTACTGGACGGGTTCAAACATCTGGTAGTCCATGCACAGTAACAGTGGGGATCCAGAGGCCAGACGATTCACCTGTGTAAGTCCACGTGTCTTATGGTCATGGCATTATACCTGATCATACGCCCCCGGCTTGAGACGGCAATGATCGCAAGAGGCACACCGCTCTTGAATTGTATTACCGGAGCTAATCGCGAAGAGTTACACCCTCCGACAACTGTGGTGTCAGCCGGGAATAATGAGCGTCTAGCCACGAAGGAAGAAATTCGAATTACAAGCATAGGGAATGGTGCACCACAGTATAAGGTAGCAAAGTTACGCAATCTTGTTGGGATGGGCAGCCGTATCCTCGTCCTTCGTGAGGTAAATGAGCTGTCCACAGTGGGATTGTTGACCCACTGTCATCGTATCATTTTAGGGGGGGGTTGAAGTGCTAACTCAACTCAATGAAAACATGAGATGATCTAGTATAGACGTATCCAAATTTCATAGAACCAAAAGTGTAAGAGTCCTGCACGACTTTCGACTATATCTCCCTCTGTTCAGCTTCTTACTGCTAATTACACGAGTATTTGTGAACAGTGATGTCTAAGCCCTAGAATCTCCAACTCAATGTGCGTGAGATGTGCGCCTTAAAGATTCGAGTCAACCACGATCAAATATAGTTGACTTCCAGTTAAGCACAAAGAAAGAAGTTGAAAATACATTAATGACAAGGCGGATCATGTGATCTATGAGTAGCTAACACGTACATTCCCCGAGCAGAGTAACTGACATATAAGCCGGAGCAGGGGGAAACGGCTCAGGACTCACTCCATCACATGGCACACGCACGGCGTCACCAAACAAAGGCTCGCACTATGGACAGCGAGCGTGTTTTCCAAGATACATCACTCATACCACCAACCAAATCCTCCGAATCGAGATCGTATACAATGTCCACATTACACTCGCCGTCGTGGAAAGTTCCACAATCACCGTCCCCTCTCTTATCCGATCGTATCCTAACTCTCAGTTTCAACAAGTAAGCAAGAAACATCCCAGCCTGCTGCCTACAACAACGACCGAGCTAGGCTATCTAGCAACCCAATTTGAACCCTCACACACGTGAAACCAACGATGTGAAACAGCGGAGGTCGTGCGAGGCGGTGTGGGCTCTGTTCTCGCATGCGATACGCTGGGCACGGCGGGCACGTCGTTGTGTCGCCGTGTGTACGCCCAGCGTGCTTCGGCCGCGCGGGCTTGGCTTGGGACCCGGTGCTCACTCGCCCACTCATTCCAACCCATCCACCTACGGTGCTTGACTCAAAACTAAACCCGTAACCCGCCCAGTGCCGCGTGTTGTGATGTGCCGTGTGTGATTTGTGGTATGTGTATGTGACTGGGATACGAATTGTGACATTCTCCAGCTACCATTCCTCCTCACGCTCTCTTGTGTGCGCCGTACCGAACGGGACAGCTAAGAACACTTGTTCCACGTTGCACGGACCTACTGCGGCGGCCCGATTTTCACGTACCACCTCACATCGCACTTTCACCGTACGATGGTCGGCTTAATTTATGTTCTGATTACTTGTTTTCGCCCTGTTGACCGGCTAGCATCGCGTCTTTCTTGTCGCTGGGATTCGGGATATTGCCACTAATGTAAATGACGCTGGGGTTTAATAGGTGTTAGTGATAGATGAATCCCCGAGTCAATGGCCGGCATTTCAATGATAAGGATGAGGGGGACTGTCGAGTGCAAAATATTGTGATGATCGGACTAGTAGTCGGACCTTAGTCTAGAATCACTTTACAGGCCCAAGTTTGATTGATGAGAATTATCGATTGTTCCTTTGCCTACTAGACAGATCAAACGGTAGAATACAAGAAAAACTAAACTCTGGTAGAGTGAATAAGAACTACAACCAACACATTGTTCGCCCGGCAGTGTCCCACACATGCCATACCCAGTCATTGATATCGAGAATGAGAAGGCAACTGAAGTATTGCCACAAGACTTTTTAAATCATTATTAATCCAAGATCACGTGCCTGGCGAGTTGATTAGTTACATAATAATGCACTTACTGTAGAGTAAGATGTCCCTTCATTTTCAGCCATGTTAATGCATGGCAGGATATCTACTCAGCAGACAGTCAGCTTATCATGAAATTAACGTATGTTGTTTATCTAGTTGCGGTTTATCTTTCGGTGTATAGATATCCTACGAGTCGAGTGTGAGAAGAATCGAGTCGGCCCTCGCTTCTAGAGGCATGTAAGTAAACTTTGCACCAAGTCTGTTAGCATCAATACAAACTCCAGGCGCGAGGATGTTCGTTTCTAGTCACTTCCTACACGTTTATTCTCGTATATTCATACATTCAATTAGAACCGGGTGCTCAATTGGCAGTTCTTGAATTACGCCTAGCAGCCAGAGAGATGATACATACATGTCATATGAAATGTACCTAGTGTTCTATCGATGTATATCAGCGGAGGGCAACAGACAGACTTTAAAAGTTTGTATTTGTAGCACGTTGTATGTAATTTTCGTTTGTAGGTAAAGACCTTCCTTCACAACATTCAGTATCACGTTACGATGTTGTTAACAAGATGCTAGAATACAATCTTGATATCCATTCTCAACGAAGCACTGTTGTTTTTATCTCACAGGAATGTTGAATTGAGAATACTTCGAAAGTTAAAATGATAAAAAGGGACGTTAAGACACATTATATGAATACATTGTACTCATTGCTGTTTCCTTGTCCCTGTCCTGTACTAGCTGATAAACCCAACGCCCACAACTCTTCATTGTTACATCGCGCAGGTTACATGCGATATAGGCCTCACAACTTTCGCTTATGACGATGTTTTTTTTTAACTGACAATTGTGATACAATTGCCTTCATGACTCCCTCAAACGACACAACAGCGTCCCGTCTTTACTTATCTGTTTTCTTTCACTTGTTACTACCGAATTTTGTTTGCCCCGCCGTGGTAGACAAGGTTCTCGGATCTTTTCTCGATCCAGGTTCCTATGCATTGATCGCCATCGTTGTTACTTATCTAAATAATGTGAGCTATAGCGCGACCAGAACAAACGACAGACCTGTCTCATTACCGCTTTGAATTTTTACTTACTGGTAACATTTTCCGACCGCCTATAATGTCTCTGAAGTTCATGTGTAATTAAATCAAATCTCATGCAGCAATCTACTCTATCTTACGTTGAATTTATCGAAGCAAATAATATACGCAGTACCACTGGAGTAAGCTAAGACATCAATAAAGCTACAGAGTCTTGAGTTGAATAAATCTCGGGTGTCACTTCTCATAATCTTACACGTGCTCTTGGGTACCCAGGGCCTGAGGCAGTAACTTAAGCCCAGTCATGATTCTTAATCAACGCCTTGGCGAAACGCATTGGTGTCCATACTTTGAGAAGATATACCAGGAGTTTTTATGGTCTTACCTCATGATTCATAGAGAGTCAACAACAAAGAACTATCAACTTAGCCAGCGTAAAACGCCAGTCATACTGACTGATCTGGGGATAGCTCACAGGTATATCCGAATAGGCGCTCTTTCGTTTTCTACTACCAACTAAGCGGTACATGTAGTTTCGTAGGCAGATATGTACGAGTTACCCTATGGGATGTTCCTTTGCCCAGAGTATGTACCTAGGTATCTAGCTGAGTGACCTCCCACACCCAAAGTATTCAAAAATCCATGAGCGTGTCATCACCAGGTTGTCTTAACGCTTCTAGGCAGAAGCCCATAGAGATGCCTCATTATAAAGATTTTACTTTGCTTATTAAGGTAAAATATCTTTTCACTGATAGACTACCCCTCATGTTAAGAAATAATGGATTTACCTACTGAAGTGATATGGACTTCATTATTGTTTGTTCAACATGGCGGTTGCCTAGGAATGCATACATGAATCTACGTGTTTCGAAAGGCTGCCGTGCCTTCCTCTTCCCGGTATATCTTATCTACGTGCCCTACCCAAAAGATACTTGTCGTGTTTCCGCAACGCGAAGCAAACTTGCCTTACGTTTCTTCTCTGAGCTCTTTGCCTTCATGCCTTCCTGTCAACCCTCTTCTCCAGAGTCTCTGCGTTGTTGGTATCTGTTGTTGACTTCGCCATCACCAACATTTGGCAAATAGTCAAATGTTCTTTCCTTTAACACTTCGAGACTCGTCCTGGTCCCTTCTCTGAATTTAAAAATAACTCCATCGTTCGTACTCTCGCACATTTACAGAACCTTCACGCAGATCTTGCAACGGAAACTTCCTAAAAGCATCGTCTATTCTCCTGTCTTGACAAATGGCTACCATGAAGAAGATCTTTGCGATGCTCCTGCAATCTGGAGAGCATAGCGATTTAACACTCATGTGCAAGGGCCGGGAATTTAAAGTTCACAAGGCCATCGTATGCACACAGTCTCCCATCATTGATAGAATGATCAAAAGCAAGCTCAAGGTACGTGTGATGACTTCTACCTTAAGCTCCTAATGACTTACCGGATCCACGTTGACGACGCCACAGGAAGCGCAAACCAACACGATCGAAGTCAAATTTGAACTCCACATACTAAAATGCATGCTCAACTATATGTATACAACCGATTACAAGGTGGAACTTCCTTCTACCGAAGAGAATTCAAAGCAAGGTAAAGTTTCCATATTACTATCTGATTAGCCCCACGCACTCGATACCCATGGGGCTAGTAGTACCCTGATCATTCCTCGACCAAATTGTTGTTCTTCATTACTGTTGTGTCATGATCCTTTGGCAGCTCAACTGCTAACTAGTAACCAGAAGCTTCAGCGCAACCCGCCGCCAACAAACGAGTGCAAGTTTTCCCAACCACTGCCGAGGTTTTGCTCTACCACGCACATGTAAATGACATTGCCGAATATTATGACGTTACAGATCTGGCTGTACTTTCAGCTGAGAGAATTGCCTGCTTGCTTCAGAAACCATTCTCAGCGGAGACCTTTTGCGACTTTATCGAGAAGACTGAGGGTTTGACCGGAGACCAGAATCTTCAACAGAAACTAACCGCAATTGCTGCTTCGAATATTGTTGCCCTCTTGGAGAAAGATTTTTTCTCTACTAAGGAAATTGGGAACAATATGGCCTCTGGGGTCCTCCAGGGTGTTACGAAGCCGTTCAAAGCCTATCAGGCTAAAGTGATCAAACTTCAAGGCAAGCTACGAGCTCAAGACCTGGAAATTTCGCGCCTTACGAAATCCAGTCTTCAGCTACATGAAAATCTAGACGAGCTTGTCAAGGTTTCGACGTCTACACGCGCGTGTGTCAAGTCAAGTTGTATGGTCAGATTCGGATCTATAATCGAACCACCCTCACAGAATTTGGAAGGTCGTTGGATGATTCGCTGCGCCTCTTGTGGTTGTCGGTATGTGTACAGCCAGGAAAAGAAGGCTGGTGTCATTGCACCACCGCCGGCAAAAGCTTAGTGAACAAGCTACTACAGACTTGGAATCATACCTTGCACAGCGGAATAAGCCAGGGAAGCATCAACTGTGTGATAAACAGCATCAATTCCTGGTTTCTGAGAACGTAAGCGGAGGATGGACAGCTATGGAATGGTTAGTATGTGGACTCACAATAGTAAACCCACGGAGAAGGGAAACAGCAGCTTGTTTTGCATTTAGCTCGTTAGTTCTGAAGCTGTCTTATGCTAAGAATCTAACGCAGTAATAACGAGAATGGAGATACGATGGCCATAGTTGATAAGGATAGATGATTCTTCGTATTTAGCTGCTAGTCGCCATGAATTTGATCACTCATGCTCTCTGTCTCATAATTTCCAGCTGTACGAGAAGGTTGTTCCCAGCCAGAGCACATCATTTTAACACTCACTATACTATTCATGGCTATTGATCTCACTTGACTAATATTCATCGACTGGGAAATTGATAAATCAAACTATACTTATGCCATAATTACGCCGCCAAGTCAGGTTGCCAGCATGCCGTTACAGTTATCCACGCAGTACGTCTACTATGCGAAAAAAAAAAAAAAAACTAAAAAAAAACTTGTTCCCGACGAGGCGGTCTAGGCAAACATGAACATTTGCTAATAATAGCGTCTACATGCGGGCGATTACTGCCGCCCGATGAACCGCTTCTACATTTTGCGCTATATATATATGTAGGTATCTCGCTTTCCTCACAGCACGGATTTATAAGCACCTATCGTACCACCGACAAATTTGCCAACGACATCATGAACACCCTAGATCCAAACCTAAATCATACATACGCAGCGTCGTATGTATCCATCTACCCGGTGGACGAGACAGCCAACTTACTCGGCAGTCGGACAGCGGAACGCCCACCATAACCGGTAACAGCACGGAGGTCCACCGGGTTACCTAGTGTCACGAGATGGAGACCCGGTGGACGATTCCGCACGTACGGCGATTGTGACGTAGCTTACCTAGTGTACAGGAGGGAGGATGAGCTAGTGACGGGTATACCCAGCTTCGTGGGGCCCTTCGTTCCGTTGAGCCATTACCGAGTATGTGGATCGGGGGCAAGGGGAAATACATGTACCCGAGGAGGACAACGGACTTGCTTAGATAGTTAGCAGATAGGGTTCATGATGGTGTTGCCGTTGGAGCGGACTTAGTATGGGCGTGTTGGTATATACACAAGTCGTCTTGAGCGGATTTGGTCGAGAGAATAGCGCGTACGATATCATATGAACAGCAGGAAATGTAAAGTGGTACGCAGATAGAGAGATCAGACAGATGAGATTGATATGGTAGATCGAGACCCTGTTTACTTTCAGAACGATGGACATCGTGGTAGAGACGTCTATTACAGCACGCATGGTTCGTATAATTGGAAGCAAGCCCTGATGTCACAACCCCGGTGATGACTTCATACGCCCGAGGGCTTCCCTACACGTACATAAAACTTCCAAGTCAATCGTGCGCGACATATACATCTATCTCATCTCATCTCTCTAATCTTAACTCTAATCTTAATCTTATCGATCAATCACATCAATCACATCTCCTTACCTACGCATGGATCTATTCCCGGGTCCCCACCACCCCTAGACTTCCGCTCGCCCGGGGACCCGCCGCCATCAGCCCTCCACCGGGCCTCGAAAAAATCGAAGAACGAAAATAAACCTCAACACTACTGTAACTTAACCTGGAGAAAAGACCCAGATGCCGGAAACGCGGGGGGAGACCCCATACTTATAGGTACTCACACTAGATTAGTACTATATGTACCTATAGGTAGCTACGTAGCTCGCTCGCCCTACGCATGCGGCTCAAGCGATGTGAGTCACGAAGCTGTTATTCTCGCGATGTACCTCCATTGATCCCGAACTCCTCTCACGTAAAGAATAGAAGAACGTGTTCATCTAATACCATGTCTCACGGCGTGAACTACAAGAATACATCTGTATAGGTTCCTTTTTCCCACGTGGACGAAGCTATAGTGAAGTGGGCCGGCCGACACAGCTCTGGTCGGAACGATCGCGGGGTGCGTCAAGAAATTGCGGGGAAAGCTTGCCGTCGGGTTTTGCTCACATGTGGTATCTTCATCTTAATGCGAGGTGCTTGCGATGGTGGTTGATTGTGAATTCGAGTACCGGTATTCATTGATGAATGCTTTGCTGTTGATATAGTTGCCTCTATTCACCTCGCCCGCTTAGATTCGTGGTTTGAGTTCAGCCAAGCTTTCAATCAGGCAGCTGTTAGAATAGAGTTGGATTGCATGTGCAAACCCAATTGTCGAATTATCAGCGAATTAAGCGCATCGGTTCTAGTCAGCACCAAGTAACCTTAGTAAAGTCTAATAAAGCATCAGTCATATCAAAAAGGCAGGGCAATTGAGCTTGTTAATCACATGGGATGCATGGCGATCTTGAACGTCTTATGGAGGGGTACTGCGCATCGTCCAACGCGCAACTGTTTTCAATTGAGTCAAATGATGGTCGATGTACTCATCAATGAGCACCTATGGAGTACCCCGGCAGACCTCTCTGCATCAATAATATAGTCCGGAAGAGACTGTTCTCGCGACTCGTCATTCAAGTATATACCAAAACGCCACATTAAAATAATATTTCGGACAGAGGCAGACTCAAAACACCACTGAGCTCCCCATGAACTGCCGTCGTTGAAGGGGCTTTGCAAAACCTCCGCTAGAAAATCAGATTCGCTCTTCCAACCGACTTAGGAAATGTTCGTAACGGTAGCATCAGCTGTATGTTAGAGAGCAAGTTTGCCTTTACTACTCTGCTGACTTAAAACGTCATCGACAAGACCTCTCCAGAGACCTGTTAACATGCCGGGTTCTTGTTCAGCGGGCTCGGCGTCGTAGATGAACTTGAGTTCGACACCGTCCATGCCCATTCCCTCAATCTCCGTGAGCGCAGATGGCGAGACGAGATCTGGGTTGGCAGCAACAATGCTGATGTCATGGACAGTGGCAGGGGCATCTGTCGACTCGGGAGCGTGCTGGAACATGACGTTATCGGGAAGTAGAGGGACGCGGAGATTGCTGAATGGGTCTTGGCTGGCGCCGTCGAAAACGGCTGAGCCAGGGAAGACGATGTTGTCGACGTTCTTGGCAGTTGCCTGGGCAGTAGCAGTACTCGAGAAGGTCTGCATTAGACGCATCTTGCGAGGTTGAGGGTGAGGTAGATTGGCTGATCGGGTATATAGGTGGCGGGAACGCTGTTGACCGAGGTGCATCGTTAGTACATGCTATGCTTGACTATGGTTCTAATCTAGCTCAATGGCTGTTGCGGGAGGCTTACATCGGGATCTGTGTTCCTGTCTTTAAGCAGGTCTGCATATTTCCTCGACAAGGGCGCGCTGGCCTTAGAGCTTGTGATTAGAGTCGAGGGTTGAGCGGATGTGGTGATAGAGCGAGCAAGCTTGGCGACGGGACCAGTCACACGAGGGCCAGCCATTTTGGAGATTTGATTACAACTCTTTGAAAGTAGGAGGGTTGTATTAGGTGACAGGTACAGATAAAACGAGACAAAGACTGAAACAGCTGCAGAGAGGAAAGTCGATTAGCTACAAGAGATTCAGAGAATTGTAGACAGCGAGGATGAAGCGTGGGTTTTTGAGGGTGATGTAGAGCACCTTGGGGGGGACGGAAATGGATCGAGTGAGTGGTGGTGTTGTATTGGTGTGTTATACAAGATATCGGAAGTCCGGGAGCTGAAGAGAGACGCACGACACCACACAACACGACGACGGAACGGTGCAACACAGATGCAGGACTGAGGGGGCTGAGAGAGATAGATGCACTCACCTAATATCCAAGACTTTGGGGTAAAAAGAGAAAAAGATCCCAAGACGACACAGCATACGAGATGGTGAGTTCGTCTTAATATACCGGCCGTGGTGACCACTGTACATACCTACATACTTAGGTAGGTCCCAGGTACATCCCCAGGTACATCCCTAGCACAGGAACATGCATGCATAGTCTGGGTCTGTCTGGGCATTAGTGTGGCATGCAGATCTGTAAGTATAGGTAATAGATACAGTGCAGTTCCAGCTTCGTGGCGGCTGTATACCTGTCGTCTTATCAGGGAATTGAGTCTATTCAATGGAGACTCTTGGAGATCCGACTGCTCACTAGATAGCAGATCGGGTACCATGGAATCCTTACTTAGAAATGTCGAAACTATACGGTACATATGTACATAGTATGTATGTAGGAATTAGTGTACAATGTGTTACAGATTGACAGGGCGGTGTAACCACAGTCCATCATCATCATCCTCTGTGTTATGGAGATATCCGGTGCCTGTACCAAGTAGGTAGCCATTGTTTCGGGGATTTCTTTCTTCAACAATCTTGCACGAGAAACACCAGGGACGCATAGTAAGCCGGCCTGCCGCCTTATCGTGCTACGAGGCCTTGGTCCTAGGTATCTACACATAAGCACTGCTCGCTTGTTGCCAACATTCTGTATTATTCTCTTCCGTTATCCGACCGATGTTCCCACCGACCATTCGACTCAACATGATGTTTCGAGTCTTTAGGCCACCTAGTGTATACGAATAGGAACAGGCCGATTGATTGAATAGCAGCACCTTTTAATGAAGCATCGTTGGTCTCGTCTAGGTTGTGCAGCGAAAACGGTCTCGAAGCTGTGTCGGCCAAGACCTCGGACTTGTCAAATAGGAAAGCTGCCGGTGGAGGCCTGTCACAGCCAATAAACCGCCCGCTACCACGGCACTTCAACCCTGGCTGATGCCCACCTCTTCTGTCCACGTCGCCCACGTCTCATCTCCTCATCTGTTGAGAGCTTGTCTAAAAGCTCTGACCGGAGCTCTGACCATCCTCTGCCCAGAACATCTGTCCTGATCTGCCCACCTCTGTCTCTCCCCTCTTCTTCCCCGGCAGGCCCCGGGAAACCCGTGATTTGAATCAGTCCATATGAGCCTAACCCATCCACGGTCTCGCCAAGCTGCTCAATAGACCGAAGAGGCCAATTCACCATGGCTCTATTGAGATCAAGCAATTACGCTACCTCCCTGCCTGCTGATCACGTTGCCCCTCCCCCCATTCCTGTTCCTGAGCTACCTCACGGCCGGTGTACACACTAAATTCAACGGCTACATCTATCTAGATGCTAACTGTATAGTAGACAAATAGCGTACTCAGCGTGGGCTCATTGTCAAAAGAAATATCAAATGCGGAACGAATTGTGACTCAGCATGACAAGCCAAACTTGTCTATCGATGTGAGCTAGAAAGAAGCTGTACTTAGTAGAAGGGAGAGCAAGTAGCATTCCTACCCATCTGCAATAGGCTCCATTCCGGGACAGACAGCGCATCCACAATGCGCATGCACGAAATGCTCACCGTTAAAGGTAGCGGGAGTTGGCAAGTAATCCTGTCATGAATCTACGTCTTTTCGTCGTCGAATCTCAAATTCATCTTTCCCAAAATAGGCACCGGTCATCACCGACATCGGATATTCGTAGGCGTTTTTCTTATCCAGACAGCTCTTGTTAATGATAAGCTACCTATCCGTACATACTCGATACTTACTTACTTATAGCACCCTTGATCGCCCTGGATCCTGATCCATGGAAACCCCACCTAATTATAAGTGATAGGCATATAGAAGTGGATTCCCGAATTCGAATTCGAGAATAGGTGCTACTTAGTAAGTAGATAGGTACTCCGTACCCCACCAGGGAGAGTATCTCACCTCTTACCTACACGTACTCTTATCATTCATCTGACAAAGACTGTTCACAACAAGACACGGTGTCGATGCATATCGGTTTTCGGGCCTCTCTACTTTTAAATTTACCTTACTACCTACAATACCTACCCTTCTTGGTCGGTGCTCGGGTCAGGAACCTGAAGCGCCTTCAACGGGCTTCAAAACTCACCATCTACCCCCCAGGAATCTCTATGGACTAGCAACCGGCTACCACAGGTTGTCCTCACGAGTCGCGTCCGACTGTGAATTCGCTGTAAAGCTAGCCCCCCATACATTGGGGCTGGGTGTTGTCGTACCTACATGTCCATGTATTACGAAGCCAGCAAGCTCGGACATCCACCCGAGACCAAACGGCTCTTAACTTTCGACGATAGAGCCGATCACTTTCAGGCTAACCAAAATCAACAATGCCCCTTGGGGAAAGTGGATATCGTTGTGCCCTCCGGATATGGGTTACCAGAGAGATCTACTTAACTGGGCTGTTCACCGCCTCTCAACAACCCTCGTTGTCTAGGTAGGGAATGAAAAACGCAGGACGTCTTGATCATCAAGGACTAGTAAACATATCGAATATGTGTGTCATCATCGATGCTGCATCGTTATTCAGGCTGCGGCGTCTCGCAAGAATCTATCTAGGTATGGCCCCTGGAGACGTGGTTAGAGAAGCAACAAGATATCAAAGGAATATACACGTACGTAAAGACAGGTCATCGATAGCGACTTGAGCTTTTAACGCCATGATATGCCACGCTCCGCGCCGTGTGTTCACCGCTGGCTTATTGAAGAGCAGCATAGGTATGAGATACCTAATCGGCAAATTGCTGATAGTAAATGTAAAAAATGCCTGCCATGGAACCTTTCATTGAAGATGTGAGCTGCGAGAATCATGTTGTAGGTATTGTGTGTCTGCTGTCCATACCTAACCCACTATATTCACCGTGACCATAGCGCACGTGCTCGCTAATGCCACCTAAGTAGTATGCGCTGACGCAGGCGGCGAACTAGCTGCATAGTATACTTTCATCTCAAATATGCTTATACGTTGAGTTCTTCTTGTCTTCCACTTATAGTCCTACACTACCTACTTCTTCAACAGATTGGGAAGCTCGAAGCGAGGCGCCTCTTTCCGAAACATTGTCATGGTTTCATCTCACAGCTTCTTCTGCACTTCCTCGCCTGCAGCAGATACAACAAACCTAAACGACACGAGGCAATGGTGAGCCATAGGTGACACGACTATTCGGTACGGCAGAAAAGAACATAAAGCCAGTCTTACCTTGTTACTTGCTGCTCGCTCAAGTAAGCTCCTTGCTTCCCATCGTGGTAGGCCACAGCGTTCGTAACCTTGGAAGAGTATGCGCGCCCATTGCAGGTCAGGTGACCACGGAAGCAGCTTCAATAGGGACTGATGCCAGGTGTGGAATCCGCGCGGTATAGCGAAGTCGAGCAAGTTCCAGAGTTAACGCAGTTCATGGAGATTTGTTTCTCGTCAACCTTTTTGGCCAATTCTCGTGTCCATAGGACCCCTAGAAGCTTGGTGGTGCTGTATCTTTCGATTGCATTAGACTTGTTGAAAGAGCCATCCTCATCCATCCGCTTCAAGATTGATGTCGCATTCTTCTCCTTGAAAGGCGTCCAGAATTGTACCTCCGGCGTTACGAAGGTGAGTCGAGATGGGGCACCCATTTCCTCGGCGGTACGCTTTAGGGGCTCGAGGAGCAATAAAGAGGGTAGGGCAGTCCCAAGATGATTAATATGTTCAATCAGCACAGGTCCTCAAGGCAGTCTGACCGGGACACAGTAGACTGACTTGCGCGTTGATCTCATGGCCCGTATTCGACTGGCTGAATTCCATTATCTTAATACCTGCATTCAGTATGACTATGCTCAACTTATTGAGCTTCGATGCTCGAGCACCAAAAGCCATCATGCCGGAGAAAGACTCATAGTCTACCCCCCAAACTTCTACATCGTACTTCGGGGAGAAGGCTAAGATGTCACCCCCTGCTGCATTGCCGCTCGCAATGTTCCGGACGCCGAGGATGACGCGCAAGAGGCCATGGGCAACCATCTCCTTGGACGCTTCCAGTCCGAGGCCACCGTTTGCTCCCGTTACTATGGCGGTTTTACCGTCGAAACGGATCTCCTCGGGCAGTGGCTTCGGCTTGGCGGTGACCTGCCGCACGTAGGATCCGGTCATAGTCCCCATCCATACACTTTCGAACAATGAGCTCCTCTCAGACTGCCTCAAGCGTATGCTACCTTACATCGATGTCACGCCACCATCTGGAATAGAGTCTTGTACAGCGCAACGATTTGTAGTGTAGAACTGAACTCCTAAATGATCTTGAACCCTCATTTCAGGAATCCAGCCGGACAAGTGTCTAAGTCAGAATTTTCTAATAACTAATTGCAGATTGCCAGATGCTAGTTCTTTCAAGGCTGGTACACACTTAGCCTAGAAGTTAAAACGTATAGTTCTGGTAGCTCCTTGGGCAATTCATCAACGGAGGATTTCACCTCCGTACCACTGTAGAATATGTTGCTATGAGCACAAGGATTTTATGTCTACTATGCCTCAGAGCGATTAAACGCCCTAACCCTTGAAATCTGATCATTGTCCGGCCATGACGCTCGGGTCGCCTTCCACCCAGGTAATGTTGGCACTCCAGTTGTTGATCTTCCATAGCTCTCCCACCTTGACCAAATCGCACAGGTACATCCCGCCAGAGGTGAACTTGTTGGGGCCGGGCTCAAAACCCTTGCCAGGACGAACGTGTTGAGCCAAAGCCGAACACGAAGCTTGAGCTGTAGCGGAGCTCTGAATAGAGACGCGGACGTTGCTTAGGAAGTGGGTGGTATCTAGTTTCGAAACGCGATCAAAAACCGCGGCTTTAAATTCCACGACGCCCTTGGCAGATGATCCGGGCATCTGGGCTGAGATATCAGGGGTTATAGCCGAGAGCAGTAGTGCCTCATCGGCATGGTCGAATGCGAGGACCGCACGGTAAAGCGCATCGGCAATGGCCTCGCGATCAGTGAGACCGCCGGCAAGGGAGGCTGGAAGTGCAAAGACCATGACGATTGACAACGGTAACTTGAGGCAAATGAAGTAGACGAGTGATCCAGGAGACTACGAAAGGGTGCTATGTAGATTGCAGCCAACACCGGATGTTGATATACCAGCCTTACGACATAGCTCATGCACAACCTGCTGGCGCCGTCCGAAATCCGTGCAACTTGCAGCTAAGGATAAACGTCACGGCGTGGTATTCACATGTTTAAGTTGTACCCAGATCATGCAGAGAACTTCCGTTAACTCCAAAGTCCTCCCTGGCTGCATAAACCACTGGGGAGGTAACGGTTCTCAAAGATAGTCTGATTCGCTGCGACACGCCAGTGTAAATGTGATGCATGAGCTGCAAGACTATGGCACAGGCATCTCGTCCCAGGCCATCAACGGCCCATTCAAGATATTTTCTGCACCCTAGGCTCCTGTTGACACCCCCGGGATCAAACGGCAGTATCAACAGCAAGGTTAACGCGAGGCGAATAGGTTCTTGCATTCACAACTAATCTTCACTGGCCTTTGAACGATGAAATCCATGTTTGCCGCTGGAGCGTCTGCCTGTCAGGTAGGAAACGGAAGAGTAAGGAGAGGGGCGGTGGAGGCCCCTTGGGTAGCTCGTCAAACACACGAACGATAGTCTTGGCGCGAAGGATCCAGTCATCGAGGATTACATATCTAGTGTGCGTGAGAATACCAGTCGAACGAAAATTCCTACCGTCGAAAGGACATTGACAAGTGAGAGACTATGTGGTACCAAGACTACCGTAGTTGTGTTGGGGTCCGGCGATCCAGCGCATTGGGGCCGAACTAACTGTTCGGGCCATCAAACAATCCGCTTAAAGCTGTTATTTCCGGGGTTAACGGCAGGCAAACGTCCCGAGCAGGCAGTAAGCGATAACCATAGCCATAATTTTCGAATTATCGCCGCCGCCGTCGTATCCGTGTATCCCCGATATAGCCTTGATTATATCGTAAAGTGACGTAGGTGGTAGATTGTGGGTTGCGATAGAGAATAGCTCTCATCCATAGAGTCAGAAGGTGTGCTATTTTTGTAGAAAGGGGTATATATGTAAAGTATGTTATGAAAACGTAACCCGGATGCCTCGGGGAGTAGTACCGAATGATCTGCATGGGTCTACTGTGGAATACTCATTTCACCTGGTCATTTCCAACCCCTCAAGTATACCAACTGCATACGAGCAGACATTCCCAGATAGGCACCTATTTTAAACGTAGTAAAAGCAGTTATGGCGGCCGCAAAGTTGCTGAACTCTTTGCCCTTCATTTCTTGTGTACCTCTGGCTTTCTATCGCATCACGTTCTAACCCAAGCCCCAACTCGCGTCCGGAAGCGGTGAATATATAAGGAATAAGAAGACAGGAGCCAGAATACAGCGATGGACGGCACTAACCATTGTGAGTAGGACATAGTTGCTCAATATTATTGACAGCAATATACTGTACATGCTGAGCTGCATTATGATGGGATCATTCATTGACTAGCTTCCACTTTGAGCGACAGCGGTACCATGGCCGGGTCGTAGGGATCCAGGACCAAGCCCGCAAGCTGTCGGCCACCGTGGGTACAGTGCTGCCTACCCGGAGAACACCATGGCTGCGTTTCGGAGCGCCGTAGATATCGGTGCGGATGCGCTCGAGACCGACTTGCGGCTCTCCAAAGATGGAATCGTCGTATTGTCGCATGTACGTCACTACCCTCTATCATGAAAAATATGATTTAACTGATCAATATTATTTGTAGGACCCTTCGTTGAAGCGCTGTTTCGGTGACGCTCGTAAGGTGGCAGAGTGTAATTGGGATGAGCTGAGCAAGCTCCAAACACTACGGGAGCCAAGGCAACCCATGCCTCGCCTACTTGATTTATTCGAGTACCTCGCGCAACAGGAACAGGAGCGCATATGGGTGCTGTTAGATATTAAGGTAAGGAGCCAACAGCAACCTTTCTGGATACGGTTGTATATAGCCGGCCAGACGAGCATAGATTCTCACGTTAGCGATTATAGCCGAGCGACAACATGAACGAGCTGTTAAGCTGTATAGCGCGCACTATAGAAAGCGTCCCTACAGTAGGCCGCCCGTGGAACGAGCGCATCATGCTTGGTCCCTGGACTGTAAGTGCCTATCAGTTACTGCCACAGATGAAATGTCTTAACACAGCAACAGGCAGAGTGTGTGGCTAGTTACCTCAGACACCTACCAGGATTTCCAATTGCTCTAATCGCCTTCTCGCCGCCATATACAACAGCGATGCTACAGGTTCCCAACCTGAACTTCAACCTACTTAACTATACTTTCGCAACGACGCGTGGTTCGCGCTTCTTGCGTGAAGCTAAGCAGCGTGGCCGCTTCATATTGTCTTGGACGAACAATGAAGCTGAGTGGATGGCGCGAAGTCTACGCGACGAGATCGATGCTGTGATCACCGACGACCTTAAGAAGTTTCTTGAGATTCGCGGCCAGCCACGCTCTAAAGAGATGCAGCTTGTTGCTAAGTGGAGCGTGAAGGAAACCAGTTTCTGGATCCTTATTAACATACTCGCTTGGGGGTTTGAGACATTCTCAAGCGTTATGAAGGGCTCGCCACAAGCCCAGGTGAAGAAAGAACTAGGCGTTTGATACTACTTTCCTCGTGAACTTTTGTTTTGCAATTAGACTTTGAAGAGCCGCCTTGACTCTAGAAGTAAACGCTCGCCTACTTGGCCCAAGCATAGAAATCCGTCTCACAACGAAGCGACTCTCCTCAATTGACTTTGTAATATCCGATCTAGCTATTCCGCAATATTGAACGCCCATCTTGCTGCTCCATCCTGCAATCATCCAGAACAACTTGATGAATAGAGTCTCTTAATTTCTACCTCTTATCCGCTCCGCTATATAAGCATGCCTTGAACCCTTTATTTATTACTCTTGTTTAGAATACCGTAGCCTGCTGCGTCTCAATCATACTGGAGGTGGTAATGGTAAGGCATCTTTCATTGCACAGCCCAGATTAGTGTATCCAATCAGACCAGCAGAATTACGGCATAGGCAACTACAAACACAGCCTCTATCGGGTGTACCCCAAGACGTTTATTTTCTCGAAACTCAAGTCCTCTTCATGCTGCAGTACGTTTTCATCATTATCATCAATTCGATGACTTCGCGTGGAATTCTACTCATCACGACCCTTTACTCCACTACGCTCATAACATAAGATTCAAATCAATATCAGGATATAACCGAGTCTCGCTACCTCTTGCAACACTAACGGCCTCGATGGCTGATCCCATTGGCGTTGCGGGGACCGCGGTCGGGGTCGGTAAGCCACCCTTAGATTCATCTTCGTCCCATTTGGCAATTTGGAGAGAGTTGCTCCCTGTTTAGTATTAGTCCTAGGGAGACAAAGCTCAGAGGTTCTCGCTTGCACACAGCTCTTTATGGTAAATTGACGTTTAAGCTTGATAGTGTCGCTCGGGCTGCAGGTGTTTGGGACCTTGAAGCAATACCTCGACGACATTAACTCCCGTGACGAGCAGGTCACCAAGACTCGAAGCTACCTCGAACAGCTCAAAGAGACTCTCGATATAATAGATAATGCGACTCGGTCATTACAAGCCGCGCACCAAACTCCCTCCAATGTAGTCCTGTCTTGTCTTGTCTCTTGCAAAGCAGAAATGAACACCCTCCAGGCAAAGCTACAAGAACACGGACCCCCACAACAAATCAATGTCAAGGAAAAATTGAAAGATTTCAAGAAGCGAATTCAATATCCATTCCAGATTCACGCCATAAAAGAAATAGAGAACTGCCTGGAGCACATCATAGACAAGCTTTTGCTAGCTATACATGGTCTTGAGCTGTAAGTGACTCCGCAGCCGCCCAACCCAATAGTGATTTTCCAGGGACCCTGTACTAGCCTTGGAAAATGAGGCATTTATCCGGGTTGCCTTGGTTCTAATGTCAAGTGTCATTTAGTCACTCGCATCTGACAATCAGTGGGAATGTCGAGTCTCTGAACGATGCTATTAAACGCGAAGCGGCTGCGATTCTTAACCTCGAATCAACTACAGACACAAACAACAAACTCCTTACTGCCAATTCCGCTCAGCTAACTAATATTTCTATGAGTACTGAGCCCCTGGTACCCATGATCCAGGCACTCGAATCCAATATAGTCACAACTCACCAACTTGTTGATGCCAATGCCACTCAATTAACTAGCATTGCCACGAGTATTGAACCCTTGGCACCTATGATTGAATCACGCTTAATAGTGACAAGAGACCGCTTTAACAGGTTCGAAGATCAAGTATACACCAATCATTCTGTGGCCACAGATCAGCTAGGTGTACTTAGATCTCACGTAGAGGCCAACACGAAAGCTACGATGGAGATACTAGATCTCTTAAGGCATCTAAATGAAAATTCACTGCATACAAACCAGGAGCGTATCATAAAGCAGCTCGTTGTGTCACTTGTGTCGAAACCCAGTCTTCTCAAAGACTCGCATGGGTCACTCGACCTTCAACAAGAAGAGACATCAAGTTCGATCGCTTCTACAATCATCTCAAAGCACCCTAGTCCAGTAACGACAAGAAGAACGCCAGTTACATTCAGCTGCTGCAACTGTGCGTCGTGGCGCAGTGTAAATGAGAAGCTCACGCGTTGGCGCACGTTCTATTTTTCCAAGAAAACGACTGCATCGATGCACCGCCCAGGATGTCCACGCTACGCGCGTGAAGCGCCCGAGCATGAAAAAACAGTGGGAATCACCTACACCGGACTCCAGAGACTTTGTTCTGCAGCTGTATCAGTCGGTCTATGTCTTCGCTATGGTGCTGGTGGCGCTAGTATCAGTCCTATGTTTCGATATCATTATGTAGTGGATGAACGCCAATCACCGCCATTTCGTATGATACGTGTATTGCGCAACTCGATAAGTCTAGTGGAATCCCCAAATTCGGACAGGATCTTAGCAGCCTTTTTGTCATGGATCACAGTGGCTTACGACAAACAGGTCGCTTCACCACGGGACGTTACTATCCGCGGGGCATCCCTGATAGACTACTTATTCGAATATGTGAGGATCCTATAATAAACATCAGCGTTAATGTATTCAATTCACTCACAACTGACCCTGGATCAAGGCTTCATATACTGATATTTGGGCATATCCACCCTCGTTTATATCTTCGCTCCTCAACTTTGGCGTAAACGTAACACAGCAAGAGTCGGTCTTCAGCATTTTTTCCAACCAATACAGTCCCTCAGAAAAAGGTTTATATGTCGATGCTGTATCCTTGGTGTTGCGGGAATACCCCGATCTTTGGTATCGGCACAATGCTACAAATATCGATTTTATAAATTACGGAGATGCTATATGCCGGTCGAGTGAGTTTTCCGTCGCACTTGAAACAGATCTTGACCCGATATGCATCGCGTTGTTGCACCAAGACTTGAAGAGATTATCCGATATTTTGGCCACGATTAGTTCAAACTTTAGCCCGCCTGTCGCCCGAGACCTAAACATAAAGTCATTGGCCGAACTTGTCATTCGGTGGCCAACGGGCTTAAAATGCATCTTAGAAATGCGACCAGATTTTATGAACGTCGATGTATTAAACTCTATCTTCCGTTATACTATTACATCCAGCCGATGGAGTCTTCTTTCAGCTGGTTCCCATTTAGCAGAGTCGATCAAGACTCTGCTAGATCATGGGTGTTATTTGACCGAGAAAGATGTTGAGATAATCTTGGAATTTTTCATTGGCAAGAATGGGCATAACACTACCCAAGTAATGTTGCAGCACTTACGAGTATGGCGTGAGAGGCTACGAGAAGCTCTACAAACATATCGGCCTATCGACTCCCAAGAAAATTTATCACTGAATAAATCAGAGGTCCTTGATTCCAAGGCCTCTTATGCCATGTCAATTCTTCGATCAATAGGCCTAGACCCCTACAAGATGTTTGGTTTGCAACGAGGGGATTATAGGCTCGGTTCTTCGGAGAAAGAGCCCCGATCAATATTTCACCTAATCCATTCATCTCAGAATGCCCAAATAGCTTTTGATTTGGGTTTCCGTGATATAGATGTCCCATCTGAAGGATTTACGCCGCTTTGCAACGCATCTGGAAATGAACGCTTCGGATATTGCACATGGCTTCTTGACCATGGGGCAAATTACACCCGAAGGTTTCCGTGGACCTATTCATCACTGAGTCAGAGGCTACGCAGTGTGGATGCACCTCAATATTTGGTGATACATTGGATATTTAGGTGCCTCGGACGATATTCTGATCAGCTTTGGTATAGTGATGTCGATATAATCGGATATCTTACCAGGATAACGACGAGTGTGGTTAGAAGCTCCTGGGCTTCGTATCTTACGGAAGCTGACTGCTATGATGGATGCTCGGTGAGTGATACCCAGTTCCATCTTGTCCGTCTTCTACTCTAAGTCCAAAGTGTCCTTCAAACATTTTGTCATTGATTACCATGGCGCAGCACTCGAGATACAGCATCTGACATTAATTTCCTGCAGTGTGCGTGTCTATCAAGCTCTCAGGGATGCTCGCCAGTTGTAATTTCTCTGAATCAGGCACTTCACCATCGTTTTGGGAGAGACTTTAATGATTTGTTGGGATATCTTGATGATTTAATCGGAACCTCTGCGCAGTTCGGGATCACAGTAGAATCAATCATCCGATCTTTTACCTTCTGGCGTCTGGATATACGACATACCTGCTGTTGTTCATTTAATCTCAAAAATCCTTACGAGACTTTTCCAGCCGAATATGGAAGCGACTTTGATGAGTTAAGGGAAGAGGATCGAGGTCGCGTTAGTCAGCTAGACTCACTTGTTACGAAGTTTGTAAATGAATACCGCGATAGCGATTCATTCCTCAAAGACTTCATGAGTGGACAATGGAAAGAAGAGATGGACCGTATCGAAGCAGAAGAGAAAAGCATGCGATGGACAGCAGAGGAAGAGAGCATGATGTTATCCATTGGCGTTATCCCAAAAGATGGTATCGGGTCCATGGAGTCATCATGTAGTGACAAGAGTGATGATGGCATCGAGGATGATGGTGATGATGAGTGGCGTCAGCCGGAATACTGGATCAAGCAATTCGAGATAATTGTCAACGGGGGCTATTCAGTTGAGGAGTAGCGGTACTACTATTAGCTCAAAAACATATCTTAGTAGAATCCCGCTGAGACACAGGATCATTGTCACAGAACAGAATAGGGGTGTAGTACTAAACCACTACACTATCGCAAAAGATAGAAACGACCTTATCAGGTCGAGACCCTGCACGTCTACACTCATTATATGGTGCTGTGAGAATTGTTCAAGATAATTAAGCTATTCTAGGTTTGTATGTTCGTTCCACCACGGAATCCGAGCAGAAATATAAGTACCCTTGGCTGCTAGCCTCTCCATCTCTGTAAAAAGGCAACGGCAACAACTAAATATACAACTTAGATCCTAGGCTTCTGCCATGAAAGTAGGGGGGTTGGGGTTGAATCATTGATGTTATCACTGGAACCCTAGACAACAACCACCTTTTCATTGCCGAATACTAGCACCCTAGTGCTATATCTATCACTTGGAGACACAGCTAATCCAAAATATCTGAATTCAATATCGTCTGAGCATCATAATTCACATTATAACAATAGCGTAGAAAGCAATATCATATCCGTCATCCACGAAACCATTCACTCGAACAGTCGATACATCATAGGACTATTACATAAGTAAATCAATACCATCAAAATCCCCTTCCCCTCCATTCTTCTCTATTGTTAATGACGAGGATCCTCTAAATAATGGTACATGATATGATGTAAAACTTATGTCTTTATTTAAAAGAAGTTAAAAAAAAAACTTCTTTACGCTTGTTTCTCTTCAAAACAAGTGTCTAATGCCTAACAGGAATATTGATGAGGGGGTATCATGTGGGGACCCGAAGACCTAGACTACATAAAATATTCAGAGTCTGTCTCCGTGCATTCTGTCCCGTGTATCTCCGATTGATTGACCCGGGTCATGTCGTGTATGCCATGTCACCTCTGATTTATGTGTAATGTTCCTTTTTGAATAGAAGGACATTTATTTACAGTAAGGATTTTGGAAACAGAGTACGCTCCTATACAATTGGGTTCGATGGCGTATTTTCCTCTTCATGGCTCGGCCATAGTGTGCGCGTCAGCTCCTTCAGGTCTTTTGCGCCTGCCCTCGGATTGTGCGTGGTGGAAGGCTTTCATGGCATATTCGTATGTCATCATGGTAACCGTTGCTGCCGGTACCGCTCTCATCATGTTCACGCCCATGCCGGCGTAGAAAGCTCTCCAGCCTTCTTCCCTTAGTATCGTGCGGAAAGTCATGACCACACCTTTGTATTTGGGCTGGGGACTGCTATTCCGAGTTCCGTTGGTCGACTGGGACTGGTTTCCAGAGGTAGGCCCTGAGATCCCTAATCCTTGTAGATACTCTACACCGGGAGTCGGACGTCGCTGCGTTTGTAGTCTTGTCCTAATCACCTCATGCGGATATGTGGCTGAACTTGCCATTATTTTCGATAATATCGAAGCTGATAGCACCCCAAACCAATGACTTTGCTGACTGGAGTCTGTCATCTCTCCCATACCTTGACCTGTGAACTTCTTTCTTAGGTACTCATAGGCGGGAAATTGTACAGCAACGTGTGTGAGGCCTAGTAGCGCGGGGGTGAGGCCAGAATAGAAAGATAGGATCCCTTCAGATGAATACATCTTCCGCGCTGCATCAATTGTCGAATGATAATGCCAAGGAGAGTTGATAGTTGGTCTCGAGGTTGGAGTGTTACCTGATCTCGGGAACACTGACATCTCTCTATTGTAACCACTCGCCGATTGCGACATGAGCCGTGTCTTGATTACCCATATCGGATTGGTTACTACCGTGCTACTGGCGCCAGCAATAATTGCAGACCAAAAGTTGACAGCAAAATGGTTGCGCACTGTCGCATAGTAAAGTTAATGTTCAAACTCTGGTTTCAGACTCAGGGCTATGGCTTACCATTATGATCTTGCATGTAAGATTTGCTTTTATTGTAGACGGTGAACCATACCGCCCACGTTGGCAAGTAACCTAAGACGATGGGCCCCAGACCACGATACAGCCCGCGGAGGCCCTCTTCTCTCCATATAACACCTCCGGTACCGACGAGGCCAGAGTATACCTTGTGATGGCCGACATGCCTCCCCTTAGATACAGGTAGGAAGCCACCTTGAGCTTGCAATTTGGTCTTTATGACGTCGAGAGGGCATGTGACGACTCCCGAAGTGAAGCCGCCAACAGCACCGGCTAAGGCATTGAACTGTGTATCTGAAGCATTGGCGGCCCACCTTTGCAGCGGCGATGCGCCCCGCGAGTCGTAATATTCCATAGCGCTTACGGTAGACGAGGGGAATGAATTGTGGTTCCCGTGGATTTGAGAATGTTCCGACGAACCGGTGAACGCGGCTGTCGAGGAACTTGGATGGGTGAAGGCCCCATATTCCGTCGTACCGGAAGGTGAAGATCTTTGAGAATGGCTCTCGGCTGCTTCGCCGGGAGACATTCCCTCACGTAACTGACGGCGGTTTGAATCGGGTGTAGGGGGGCCTCTAGAGCTCGGAGATCGGAGGCCCTCTTGGAGCGATTGAAAGAGGGTCGGACGTGGTCGAAGCTGGTCGGCGGAGCGGCAACCGATATGCGGAGTAAAGGGAGCGTAGCAGTCGCAGGCGCAGCAAAGCAAGTCAGAGGCGAATCAACCGGCCGATGAGGTATGGCTGTTATGGCTTGTGACTATATGGGGTATGGATGGATGTGTTCGTGCGGTGTGCGGGGAAGGCCCTCGCAAGTGCACCGTCGACACGATAGCTACGGTCTGTTGGATGCCATTGACATTCGCACTGACAACTGGCTTACTCGGTACTCGGACTTGGAGTGGTAAGGCGGTCGGTGGTTGCGGGATCGTGGGCAAGGCGGCACGCACCGGCGACCGGAGAAGGGGGGAGAGAAAACAAAGGCGAGTGACCAGGTCCGACTCCACGAAGGGCCGAAAAGGAGCGAGAGGTGGGAGAGGTGGTGTAAGGTGGGAGTGGGAAAGGAAAGTGTGTGTCTACGCTGTGGTGAGAGGTGAGTGGTGAGTGGTGGATGGCGAATAGCGACTGGTGAATGGTGAGTGGATAATATCTAATCTATACTAGGTCGTCAACACTAGGTGGTTTACTAGCCAGGCGGCGGCGGCGGCGGACAAGAGAAAGAATATCGTGGACGAGTTGTTGGCCCTGAGAGCGGGTCTGCGCGAACCGGGGCTGCCTTCTTCTCACGTCGCAAGACGCTCTAGAATGCTATGGCCGGTAGGAATGATGAGGATGACGAGAATGCTGAGCAGACGGATGATGGAGATTGACCGCCGATATTGGATTCTGGCGGATGCACGCAGTGCGGGACCGGTGTACCTCAATGACGTGGGTGCAGTGGCTTCAGTGGTATGTATAGGTAATATGTAGCGAGCAACGAGATATCTTCGAACCCTGGCCAAGAGAGATGATCAACGGTTGGATAGGAAAATGAATAGGTAGATAGATGAAGGATTGCTCCGTTGAGTTGGGGATTCGCCGTACTACCGAGGTACCAGTCACTTTTTCTCACGAGATAATAATGATACAAGGAAACAATGTCACTCAGATAAGAAATGAGCACGAGCAGTACCTAGGTATGACCATATCTGATCTGACGTAGATGATGCAATTGACCGGTAGGTATGTACTTACATAAATGAAGAAGACGGGCCCCTGGTAGAATAACGGGGTGATCCGATGACTTCAATGTTTGGTCTGGTCTGGCTGCTGTCACCCACCTAGTAGGTAGGTAGTACCTACATGGACAGGTATTATTATTATTATCATATTATTGTAGCATAAGTATGAGAGGTACCGAGATGGGCTGTTGCGCTGCTGTTACAGCACTCAGACAGTTCTGACCTGTACCTGGCCTCACGCTGATCTGAGGAACGTATGAGATGCTCAAAATCCCCGCGCTGGCTGAGTAGACAGGGCGGCAGCAGATGGGACTGCGAGAACAGTCGACGCCTTTTAGGTCACTCTACATAGTCCACGAGGCCAATTCGTCTATAGCAAGATTCCAACGTTTATATACACAATTACAGTGAAGCATCACTTTCAAGATTATAAAGCACGCGAGAGGATTGCGTTAATGTCGTGATATTCAGGTGGGGATTCAGTTCGATTCGAAAGATGATAACGGACATGCATGCATCCAAAAATACATGAGTACCTACTTGCATTTCTCACGGTATCTACTAGTCCAAATTGGGATGGCGTCCCTTCAAGCTCGGAATAAAAAGGTACATGGATACCTCCCGGGTAAGCTCTGTGGAAGCTATGCTCAGGTCACATGACCAACTGACCACTCTCCTTCGGGTGGGCAGCGCAAGGAGCGATTTTGACCTCTACAGTTGGCGGCCAAAGCTCCATCGACATTCGATCCCTCCTCCATCGCCTCTGCAAACCGCCGACACCACATCAAACCGCCCACCATGTCGTACCCGAGTCTCGCCCCCTTTGTCATGAAGCGCCCATGGCTGCGCAACCTCCTCACGCCTCTTGCCGGCTGGTACAGCAATGCCGCCGGCTACCGTCAGCTCGGTCTTCGGTTCGTGCCACTCCGATAATTCCCTACCTCTATATTCCCCGACACATCAATTCGAAGAACCTAGCAATTGTACTTCTATCCTCTCTGAGGGAAGGAATCTTCTTCATATGAGGGGCTTCAACTGGATTTTAGGAGGACTGTGAATACAGAACAATGCTAACGAGTGATTTTTCGGTATATGCAACAGAGCTGATGACTTGATCGTCGAGGAGAACGAAGACGTCATTCTAGCTCTAAAGCGCCTCCCTCCCCAAGAGGCCTACGACCGTGTCTACCGTCTCCGCCGCGCCATCCAGTGCAGCGTCACCCACAAGCTGCTACCTAAGGACCAATGGACGAAGCCCGAGGAAGTACGTTAAACCACTCTACACAACCCATTGGGCGTCCAACCTAAACACAAGGACATACCGGCATGGAGCGATATTCAGAACATAAGAACTGATGGGCTAACCGTTGGTATGCGTAATCTAGGACGTTCCTTACCTATCTCCCATCCTAGAGCAGATTCGGGCTTCCCACGCGGAGAAGGAGGCACTAGACTCATTAACCGTCATCAAGGGTCACTAAACCAAGTCAAGAAGGGTAGATCAAAGAGAGAATCTCGCTAGGTCACAAGCAAACCTGATCTTTATTTTTAACAGCGTTGCAAATGAGAAACGCGACCATCTCGGGCGAACGGAGGAAGTAAGGATTGCTTCAGCCGAACTTGTACAAACAGTTACAACCCTGCAATAGAACAAGGCAAATAGAAGGAGGTCCCCCTATTCAACCATCTCCAAGGCTCTAGCAGGCCAATGGTCGAATTTCGTGTATGGTATACGGAGGGTCAGCTGTAACGACCATTGATTCACAACTTCTATGGTAGTTCCTGTGAATTCCTTAAATTCCAAATGTGTGAGAAGCGTTCCCTCTCAGATCACGACTACGCCCGCGGCCCATACATGCATATAACGCTATTTCATGTGGCAAAACAACCTCGCAAGGTTCGAAGTCAGCCCACCTCGCTGCTCATACAACCCCGCACCTACACTCACCATCCTTACTGCTATATAAGATAGCCGCCAGAGCGTAAAGAAAGTGAGAAAAGTGATAACTATAGCCAAGCTTCTAAAGCAATTACTTATACATTACTAACTTTCCATTGATTTAAATACTAAAGTGGTTGATTTATTAGTTGGTTAACATGGCAGGTTTTGGTGAAGAATTGGCAAGTATACCTAGCACCAGAGTCCTAATGTCAAGTGATGCAACACTTGATACGTTATGGTATTGCTTAACTTGATTTCCTATCAGATAAAGTTGGTGAGAAAGGCAAGATCTTTACTTTCCCTACCTTATCGTCTATTTCTTGCCTAACAACCCCCAACAATAACCGGACTAGTAAACACCGTAATTGGACCGATCTTGTGGTGAAGATATACCGAAAACAGTCATCAACTATGTATATAAAATTCACTCTCCAGTCTCTTCGCCATTCTTCAGAAACTAATCCCATTTACACGAATACAACAGTAAGCGATAAAATATGATGGATATATATTAGTAGTTTTCTTTTTCTACGCTTATACACATCACAGAAACCCGCCTGCGATGTTATCATCGGGGCGGGCACCCTTTAAGCTTAGACAGAGCCCGTTCTACGTCCCTTCCTCTATTAAAGAACCCCTGCCATTACTCCATCCACATAGCCAGAAGGGCTTCACCACCGTGCTACCGATAAAGACCAACACACACGAGGCCCGCAGCAACATGCTCGGGCTGCTGTGGCTGGAGGGATCCGATGAAATCAGCCAAGACTCATCAGCGATGCATCACAGTGCCAGACCGATTGGAACCATGACAGGCCTTATTCAAGCATTTGACTATGCAGCCTGATCAGCTTCAAAAAGAGCATATCCAGTAGCTTGCCAATAAAGGGCTAAGACTGTGCCTCGAGGCTAGTAGCAATAAAAACGAAGAAACCGTAAAACTTCCGCCATTCCCCAACTCCTCTTAGTCAGACATGAAGACGAAAAATCTAATGGTCTGTGCAATACACAGTGAGGCGCGCTTCGTATCTTCTCGTACAGTAATGGGTATGTTCCGAAAATGCTGTGTGAAGATGGTTTGCCCACGGCAGTCCGTGAGAATCGTTAGAATAAAGATGATAGATAGATGGACAAGAAGACGCATAACCATATGCGGACAATTTGTGTCGATCCAATCTAACTATGCGTTGCCAGGTTTCTCTTCTGTGTCGATGTGCCAGACAACGTAGTTGGGGAGACCAATGACCTCGTAGCCTGCCCTCTTAGCCATTTTGGCGAACCCTTCTGTCTCGGCTTGATTCTCGAACGCATAACAAGGGAAGTTGATGCCTATGGAATTTAGTCAGTTTTTGAAACAAGATCGATCTCCATTTACAACCAACCTGATCGATGAACGTCAGCTTTTACTAAGATGTTGACGCCACCAATACCGTCAAGCTCGATCTCTTCGAATGGGTCCGCATGTCGATCACCCATCTTAGCCATATAAGTTCTGCCAGTATCGTATTGTTTATAGCCTGTTACCATCTGGTAAGTATGTGGCACGATATTTCGGATCAGAGAACACATACCTTCAGCTAAAACAACATCTTTACCAAGCTTGCTCGCAAGTTTAAGTGCCTTGGGAGATTCAATCCACGAATTGTAATCGACTATCATGGGTTAGATCAATATAACGAACAATTCAGACGTATTCTCGAGTATAACTCACATCTTCCCTCAATGTCCCTATTTTGGTCATCATATCGATGGAACCAAATGTCTACCAATATTAGCCACAGATCTAACATATAGTGGACCGGGGTGCATACTCGGGACAAGGATGTCACGATCAAGAGATATAAAGTCCTCTAGGATCTTTTCGGGGCTTTCCACGATGTCAACATCTCGCCAATACACCCATGAGTGTTCTGGTTTCAGCGCAGAAGCGAGGAGATAGTTCCTGGCCCGGCCCATTGCTTTCCGCCTCGGCCCCTGAGCCTCGAAGCTGTGTCGGTCCTCGACGTTCTGGCCCGTAACAGAACCAAAATCCTTCTCAACGATGACAGCACTGTTAAATGGAATACTTCCTTTCTGCTTCTGAATACGTTCCAGCTCTGTGCCTAGCACAGCGAGTGTGTCATCGGTCGAATCTCCAACCAAGAAACCAAGATCAATCAAATGGTGAGGATACGTCAGCTCGACAAGCAGGTCAAAGTATTTGGACAGATAAGGCGAAGCATCTTTGAGGGGCGTCAGAATAAGAACGCGTTCTTGATTCTCGACCGCCTGGCGCGTGGAGTGCACAATATTGAGGTCCACATGTTGTATTGTAGTGTCGTTAATCGTGACTGGGGCATGGTGGTTGAAAATGACAGGTGTATTAAGATGAGCATTCCATGACTGCTGCTCATTCAGGGTCATCTCCATGGGTGGTTTAGATGGACCCCAACAATAGAAGCTACATAATGGCCAAGTCAGTAAGATGGAGGGCGCAGAGGCAGATGAGGCAATATAGGAAGAAAGTGGAAGATACCTTTGCATCTCACCAGCAGAGGAACTAATGCCACGCCATAATAATATGATTGTACCGGCAAGGGCAAGTGTTAGAAGGACCCGGGTCCTCGTCAAGAACAGCCATATGGCGCGAGTTGGGGGAAGCTGTGCCCTGGCAGACTTCCAGGTCATACCACCCTTCGGAAGAAGCATAGTGAGCCTCTCTGCTAGCCCGCGACACCTCTGTGTTATCTGTATATGAACGCGAGCTGATGTCTCAGTTGTGGCCTTCGTTGAGGATGCGGCGGGGAAGAAACTAAGTTGAGAGAAATTTAGCTTGGCTCAGTACGTGTGCGCCACGAAGAAGGGGCAGGTCGGAGATTTCGGGTTTGGGATTCGCATACAAATGCAATGACGAAAGTAGGTTTTACGTAAGAGCGATTATGGGATATGCGGGTGGACGTCGTCAAAGAGCGCAATGGTAAATGTTGAAGTTCGCAGAGGATGGTGATGGGCGGGTTATGCTCGTGTCGTCTCGTGTCGTCTCGTGATGGATTCGCGATGGATTCGCGATGCTGGGGTTGCGTATTACGACAGAATGCAAACTGGAGAGCTTTTAATAACCTGTAAACCCCGTGGTGGAAATTATGTAAGGGGAAAAGAAAGCAAAAAGTCTAGTTGACGAGCTCTATTGAATCGCTGTGATGTGCAGGCCGTTGATGGGTGAATGGTGGAATCTTATTTGACGGGCTGATCCGCCATGACAGTCGTAGGGACCGTAGGGGTACAACAACTGGAGCAGGAGGAGGAAGAGGCTTAGAGAGCAAAGAGGCTTTGCACATCAAAAGCGAAGAGGTAGGTACCTACTTGGAATGACAGCCCTATGCGACGACAGGCTCATGACACGAGAAGGCAAAAGACGTAGATATGGTAGCGCAGGCTTCCGAAGGGCGAAAGAGCAGCAGCAGGTGAGAGGGACCAAGGCCTTCGCATCTGGTACGGCGGTACCTGTTCTGGTCAGAGTTCTGGCGTCGGAGGGTAATGTAGCCCCAATTTACAAGTCAAGCTGTGTCGGTCTTGAGAGATTGAGATGCGTCCAGAACGCTGCTGAAGAGTCCAAGAGAGAAGATGCCCGTCGCGAAGTGGGTGCGGCGAAGCCTGGGCTAGCTAAGTGTAGCGTAGCGCAGGTCCTGTAGGCACACTAATACAGCACTTGGGTACCTACCTACATACTTACCTAGGTAGGTACTTAAGTACTCTGTATGCTGAATAAATCAGGGGAAGCTGGAGAAATACAAGCTTGCATATTTCTCAGTGGCCAGCTCATACGAAGTAGACTCCAAGTTCTCCAAACTCGCATTATATATATATATATATATCTATATCTACCATCTCAAGTAGGTAGGTAGTAAGTAGTGTTCAGGGTCGGTACCTCGCTGCCTGATCCCTATACCGTTTAACTTCAAGGTTGTTGCCGAATATATTATCCTTTCCAGCCAGCACGTACATGACATGACTATGTATGTCTCTACGAAATTTATATATTGAAATATGATTGGTCTTAGCTCATCTCAAGTATACCTACTACTACTATATAAATAGGTACCGTATATCAGATAGGCAAGTAAATAGGTTTCTTTACCCAGACACGTCCATACAGTGGGCACACACATATACATGCTGTTGGTGCGAATTACATGTAGACTTCGCATGGGAACGCAGGAAAGGGTTTCAACAGGATTCAGGATAGAGTCGAAACAGCCACCTGACATATGTCAGAGTATACGATTACCCCTCGTGATTAAGAAACCAAAGCAATATCTCTGGCCTCAAGCCTTCACAATGCGGTCGAACTAACGATCGAACTCCTGGCATTTTAAAAGGGTACACTAAAGTAACGTTAAGATACTTAAGGTCAGTGAGTATCACTAACAGGAAATATAGTCCTGTCTGTACCTTGAGCGGGTAGCAAGGTGTAGTCGCATTGCATATTTAGCTGGGAGTGCAACCGTATCTAAAATCTCGTGTTAGGCTGCCTAGCCGCCCGCCCGTCGCCATTCGGGAGGGATCTCATGCATTATCTAGTTCCTTGTCTCGGTAGAGAGAACCTCATATCTTTACCCTTGATTTCTGTGACTGATAAACGACCGCAAACAACGTCCTCAATTCTACAGTAGGTATTTACATGTTCAAGTACCTAACCCGAATGATCCATAGCGTCCTTTTCCATCGCCGATCCAGCAATACTTACAGTATCTGTACAGTACGCTATACTATTCGCATTCATTAGAAACGTCAGCAAGATCTGTGGGATACTCAGCTTTTAATATTACTGCCGGAGGGTTGGGTACGCTCCCTACAATACGGCAGAACTTTACACGGCCGCCTAGAGTCAGGGGAATTGCTTCACTTCATTATCCACCGCCCATCACCGTATATACACCTCTTACTCCGATGCTTATTTATATACCCAGATGCCTAGATAGTTGATCTGTTATAGGTACAAAAAGTCGCTGTGGTGATTGGATCTCTGAGGCGCACCATGAAGTACAGTACTTACGTGTGAGCACCTTCAACTATACTTTAAATCCACTTTATTTAAGCTTGTGAAGTACACGTGGTGATAGCATAGTTACAGCAACTAAGTCAAAAGAACAGCATTGATAACTAGGTAATAGTGAGCAGGCAATATTTCTCAATAGAGGCAACTTGAAGGCCACCGTGTACCATGTATCTATTCATATGCCCGGTAAGCCGAGTTAGATTGCAGGTAGGCTCGGAGTTTAGACTAGAGATCTCCAAGCTGACAAAACAAGGGCGCAACAGAAGCACACACTACAGTACATGGGAGTACCGTTGATGTCACCTAAGTAAACAACAACCTTCAATTAGCTGCTGAGTTTAGATATCTTAACGTAAGACTTCAACTACGTTCAAATCTAACTCCTACTCATGAGAGAGATGCAGAGTAAATAAAAGGAGATACCATCTGTCATCGTCCACTTGTTTATCTCCGCGGAAGGAAGCAACCTTTGAACACCGGTGTTGCCTAAGTTAGACCATTCTTACATGCCAACCATCGCTTCCACTTCGTGGTCTTTGTCATTGCTTGCATCACGGCTCGCGAATCACAGTTGCGCTACAACAACCCTTCTTTTCCAAGGCAGGATAGTTTGCAACAGCGGTTGCCAGCAATCGGGTTGGCGTGGGATAGGAACATTGAGAGCCGTCGGATTACGTGGCACTTCGAATCGAGCAGGGCTCGCTGTCTTCTCGTCTCGACATCATTCTATACAGCGTCGAGAACTTACACCTCTCTCTGCATCTAACAAAACATCCAGACCTAAGCTAGGTGTAAACATGTCAACTCGTAGATCGGCGCGGCTAATGGCCGCCTCAGAGGCTGAGGTCTCGTCATCACGTTCATCGGAAATGGTACCACCGCCTGTTCCGGCACGAAAGGGCCGCAAGAGGAAGGCAGAAGAAACAGATCCAGATTCAGAGTCAAATGGAGGAACACAGAACCCCCCGGGGGAAATACTCACAGCATCTACCAAGCGGCGAGGACAAAGGACCAGCACACCGCCTCCTTCCACTCCAACGCCGAGCAATGTGAAGATGATGGCAGAGCCTGCCGCCCCAGGAGTCCCAATATATGCGACGCCACCCAGCAAGAAGCCGCGAGCAGCAGCCGTGGATCGGCTTGCAGACCCGAACACGACATTTGCCACACTACTATCTCCCGAGACGTCGAGGGTTGTCATTAGCAAGAGAGCCAGAGCGCGCTCTCCCTCAGCATCGCCTACGAAACAGGAGAATGTCAGCATTCTCAGGGTGCCCGCAACAGCCAATGTCCTTGAGGAAGGAAACAAATTTCTCATTTCAGTAGACCCCCGAATGCGGCCACTGGTCGAGAACAACCATTGCCGGATCTTCTCGCCCGAGGGGCTAGCCGAGCAAATTGACCCCTTCGAGGCGCTCTGCAGTGGCATCATCTCGCAGCAGGTCTCGGGTGCCGCCGCGAAATCCATAAAGAACAAGTTTATTAATCTGTTCTACGAGAGTGAGGAAGATAGTCCAGAACCCGAGAATAAATCATCTGGCGCCGAAGATGAAGACGACGGGCAAGTGAAGAAGCGCCGCTTCCCAGTTCCGTCTCAAGTCGTCGGAATGTCTATCGAGAAGCTGCGCACCGCGGGACTCTCCCAGCGCAAGGCCGAGTATGTGTCCGGCCTAGCTGAGAAGTTCGTTAGCGGTGAGTTGTCAGCGGCAATTCTCGCCGATGCGCCGTACGAGGAAGTCATAGAACGACTGACAGCGGTCCGTGGCCTCGGCCTCTGGTCCGCCGAGATGTTTGCGTGTTTCGGGCTCAAGCGCGTAGATGTCTTTTCCTTGGGTGATTTGGGCGTTCAACGAGGCATGGCCGCCTTCGTTGGTCGAGATATTGCGAAACTCAAAAGCAAGGGTGGGAAATTCAAGTACATGAGCGAAGCTGATATGAAGGAGCTTTCAGATAAGTTCAAGCCATATAGGACCCTGTTTATGTGGTATAGTAAGTGTTTCCAAATTTGCCATACTCTTGCTTCAGCCCCTCCAATAGTCCGAGAGTCGAGTTTTCTAGGCCACAATCATATCTCGTTAGCCCGCGCATGTCATAGTACCTTATACTGACTCCTGACAGTGTGGCGCGTCGAAGAAACTGATATAAGCACGATGGAATGAAGTCTTAGGCAAAATGATGATGATTCGTGAAAGAACTTGTATCATACCGGCCTCCGGAAGATTAGAACTACATCTGGCCATATTACATTTAGTGGTGATGCCACAATGAAATTAGACTATATTTGCCGCTTGTTTCCCCATTTCCCAGGATATTCGTACGCCTAGAGCGACTGGACCTGAGATTTTCCCAAACAGCATTTTCGAATCATTAAGTTACTTGATTCCGTCTTGGAACTCAGTCAATCCTTCATTGTGCAAGATAAAACTCGCCTCTGTAAAGGCGAGTGCAACGGGCTTCTATCCCCTAAATAAGTAATTTCCATGCTATAATCAACCTCCTATCGACCATATGAGTACTACTTCATACTCAGACCATATGACCATGTAGACGGCCTATACTTATCCTGTCATCCGAATCGTAGTTGTACGTTTCGATGCCTGCCGTAACCAGCTAAGGTATGAGTATGTAAAATAAATCGATATGATGTCGCTTTCGATATTGAAGATCACGAAAGTGACGTAGCCGTGAGCGCGAATGACAGACGACGGATTCGTGTCGTTCAAAACACAGTAGAACGACGCAGCCCTTCTGCTGATAAACAGCACCATAATCTGGCAAGCAACGTATATGTTTGGGTACCAGGCGCATCACGAACTAATCGTGCTAGGCAAGCAGTTCACGCGCAACCTTTTCAGCGTCCCAGCCGCGGACAATGTGTTCGTGTACTACTCGGGATGCACAGAAGGTGATCGCGAGGGCGGGGCCCAGGCATATCGCTGCATAGATCTTGATGGACTCGTGACCAGCACCCCCGGCCTTCGCTTCAGACAAACCACCTGTCTGGCGTCGTGCTCGAGGAGCAGACTAGCTACGCACCGCCGCTGTGTGAACTCCAGAAGATCCTAAAACTGACCATAACTGCCTGCAATGGCCTAGGCGGCAAAATGGACGGTATCGTGGCGCGGTCCGATCTGTGCAAGTTTCACTTCGGCTACGAGGTACGCTTGACGAGACATACTACTTACTGCGCGGCGTCGAGTGGCGGCGGCGGTGGCTTTCCAGGCGCAGGCGGCTCACTCTCGCATGGAACACCACAGTGACGTCCAAGGGCGTGGCGATCACCAAGGTGTTTATGGAAGGTCAGAAGGAACTCTAAGGAACGGCAGATACACTTCAACCCACTCCCAATTTCAACATTCCGGACGTCTAGACAACGTAGAACGTGGATACGGCGTCGTGGGAAACGCAGGCCTCAGGTCTCGATGGCGAATGGATGATGTGGTACCTTCAGCTCCGGCACAAGAGCAACCTAGACGATCTTTCTGGCGTTACGCCCGATTAGTCGCCAGACTAGATGCCACCTACATGGCGAGACCGACAACTCAATCCCAGCGACGTCCTCGGTACGCTATTACGAGTCGGTGCGGCAGATTATGTAACGAGGCCTGAGCTACGACGAAGGGACCGCGGCCCTCGACGCCTTCCACCAGCTGTATGTACATCGTGTCCGGCAGCGGCGAGGACGATGCTCCAGTCTATACCCTAGAGATGGTTTCTGATGATAGGCTCCAGGGTAATGTTCCTTAGGGTTAGGCGCTGATTGATCGGGTCGGACAGAGCGCCACTCCGTCGGCGCTACACAATGCGGGCACCGGCATCAGCAAGCAGCCTCTGCAAATGGCCGTTGCGGCCGGGCAATGGCACCAGCGTGGTTGATATACCGACTCCTAGAAATAAAAGAATAAAAGCTTGACGTACTCAAATTTCCCGTGTACTAGGTCTAGTTAGCAGAGTAGATAAAAGCATGGTATCGAGGTTGTGAGATTTTGATATGTATGTATCGCTAAATCCAATTTCTGCATCGTGATACTGCATTCGGCTCTGATTTGTGCCACATGTCTACAAGCATAGGAAGCCTTGAGTATTTCGGATCAGAAGCGTCTTCCCGGGCCTGAGATGCAAATCCTCAGCTCCTACTTTTAGCACAGGTATATGTATAAGTACCCGTGCTGTAAATGAATTGACCTAGCGTTCGAGTGTGAATACCCTCAGCCAGAGAGGTATTGGCCTGCTTAAGGGACATGTAGTTGTGAGGACGATTTGTTTACATCTCGTCGCCTGTGATACCAGCTACTGGACGTACAATCATCGAACGCCAGACAAATGACGATCAGGCATGAAAACGGCAAATGGTGGTACCGGCTGCAGTTTGATAAACAAAAGAGGTAGGTAAGGTTGTGATGACGAGGCCGACGATTTCTGTTTCAAGATGCTGATCAAATGACGTGTTGGAACCCGAATCCTTTCCCGTTCAAGCAAGGAAGTTCCCAGCAAACGGGAGGCCTTCTCGAGGCCTTTCGGCGTCACTCCGAGCTAAGGCGGTGTTTGGGAGTATTTTCCTCGTCGCAGATCTCGGATTGAGACATTAGTGTGTACGGAATGGGGAATTACTGAGTCTCCAAAACCTCCCTCCAGTCTCTCCCTACCTAAAACTACTACCTATACTCGTGATGTACAGTAGGGATACGGTGCATTGGCGTGTATATAAGCTCCCTCTTCCTCGTAGAGGTACGATAACAAGCGCAGGCAGTGGATGGCCCGTCATTTCTTTGGCGGGTTTGCGTCGATGGGCTACCATCAGAATAGAATACGAGCGGGCGAGTGGGTGGCCAATTCTCGTGTTGATGATGGATGAATGAATGGCGCCGAACATGACTTGCCGTGTCTTCCAGTGCTACACGCTTACATCGTACATGCCGAAAACACGTGCAATGCGGTACGCTTGAAGATATTGACACTACAATACTTACAATAACTACATCTTAAAAGACACATAATTACCTTACAGTTACAATCCGAGACAGAATCCTGCGAGGGTTTGGCCCAAGGAGACTAATCGAAATTGAGGCGGTGCCACTGACGCATCCAATTGGGACTGCATACACCACAACCGGGATTGGATCCATGGCAAATATATATCAGGATAAACCGTCGGCCTTACTTGATAATTGCGCTGTATCAAGAAAGGAAATCATTTTCGCTCAATTACCGGTAGGTTGCTCCCACACTATGTCCTGGAGCAGACTGGAGGATAGAGATGACAATGGGCGTCTACCATTCGTGGGCAACTTGCAAGGGGGTGTTTATCTGGCATCCAATCCCGCGTAATCTTATTGTCGTAGCATCGCGCCGTTGAACTGGCCTTTGCAAGATTGGGGGATAATACCCGATCCTCGTGTCGTTTCCAAGCTTGCCGGGGGGTTGAATGATTCTGTCGAATCTGAATCCATCTTACCTACGGTAGCTACGTGTATCCAGCGTTGGCGGGCCATTGACCACGACAACTGCCTCACAAGAAACTCGACTTGTTTGGCGACGACGATAATGGGTTGGAATGCGACGGAGACTAGGGGCGTTGTACTTGAGTACGAGTACTTCATAAAGGCCACCCGCTGCGATGTTGAAGATGCTATTGGATACCAGTTCCCGACTAGCAGAAAAGAAAATATCGACGGCTCCAATGTTGTCGTCATAGACTTTCAATGATCAGCCACCACGGCGCTAGTTCGTCTTAACTACCACCCTAATGTAAAGGAAATACCTGTCTAGGCGTTAATGCCTTGTCCTGCTCTCTCCCTTGTGAAGTTGTGGATGTGTTTTTATCCAAGAAATACCGAGATGATGGGCAAGGCAACGCGTAGCACCAGCATTTTATATCCGGGGAAGATGACATACATACATAAATGTTGTGAATGCTGAGGCAATGGGTTTAAAGTCCATGCTATCTCGTTTGCTGACGGACAAGCTGGCTTCCAAGTAATGGGCACACACACACCTCTCGGCCGCTACCCATTATATGGACTTGGCTTGCCTGGTTAGCATCGAGCGGGAGCCTATGAATGCCATGCGCTTCAGGCTTTAACAAGATGCTCTAGCTATTTCCACAAGATCGGTGACGAAGACACAAGGGAGAACCCGAGATCATCTTCCCTAGAGTAGATAGTGTACTTGAACCTCAAACCTGATTCGTAGCATACAGTATACAGTACGAATCATGCCACCACTACCTCCCTTCTGTACTCCAGCTTACTGAGTACTGAGGTAGTGTATGTGCTGGTAAACTTGCTTGGACCATGATGATTATGCATACCTACCTACAGGAATTCATGCAACGCACTCAGAGTGAAATACTTACATCTACCTACATAGGTATTGTAGGTATCCTCTAGCCAGGTCAAACCAGGTTATCGTACTCCCCTACCCCCCTGTAAGACTCTTCTTGGCAAGTATTCGCGCTAGGCGTGGCCTTGGGGGCCCGCTTTGGGAGTTTTTCCGGGCAGGTATTTGAACGTGAATGAAGGTATCGTGGGCCTCGCGCTAAGCTGGCCTGCCAAGAGGAACCTGACAAGGTCAGTTTTACTAGCCTACAACCACGTAGTGTGCCTGCTGTACTTTGAGAAATCTGCTATCTAATGTTGTACGCGCACGCAACACGCAAGAGGATGCAGATGCAGCCAAGCCCTGGCCAAGCACTGCCCACCATCTCGTTATGACCAGGGGTCCCCTATCGAGAGTCTGGGCGAGCAGTAAACAAATCCTACACTAGATACTCTCTTCACGAACGATGAAGATGTACCGATGAGTGTAGTGTACCAGAGTTCAGCACATCCCTAGCTTCGTATGCTCTATGGAACGAAAGCACTTTCGTCTTGAAGACGAGCGAATGGAGCGAATATACTAGTAGCCGTGGTCCGGTCGCTAGATAAATTCGACAGCTGATAAGAATTACTTACATAGTACATCTATGAAGGATTTGACGACGATCGGTATTTTATGGATATCAAACACTGGCCTCCTAAAAACGGGCAGACCGCGTCAAGGAATAAGAGATCGGTGAAGAGAGGCGCTTGCCATGTAAAAGTACACCCACACGATGCGATATCACATGCTCTTCTTGTCATTCATTACCTAGGGTAAGAACGAAGGCGAAGAGAAAGGCGAATCGTTCTAGAACTTATTTTAATCTCTCAAGATGCTGGAGATACAAGGGAATTTGGGTTCGAGCATGGGAAAACGGAAGACGGCATCCTAGCAGCAGGGCCCATATAATCTTATATCGACAGATGGGTAGAGGTACAATACCTAGTAGGTACATGTAAGTTTGGCGTTTCCTTTAAACACCCACTAAAAAATCACCACGGACACGGCATTTCTCATGGTCTTCACAACTTGCCTTTTCATCGATGCCGATTGATACTATACTATGTAAGTACTTACTTACTTACTTACTTGGGGTAGATTAGGGGAGGGGGGATGAAGAAAAGTTGGCTCTGGATCGTCCTGCTGGTCTGCTACTACCCACTTACTAAATACAGCACTAATTTGGTTTTCATTTACTTACATGTATGTACTATGTAGCGATATGACAATAGGAGTACAGTGCGATAAAGTCATAGCCACGCCAACATTCCATCGTTATTACCGTGTGCAATTTTCTTGTTCGCATAAAAGAGCCCGTCATTACCTACCATAAGGAGGCAGTCAAGCATGCCTAGACACTTGACGGTGGACCGTTGGTTTTAGTATCTTCCTACTTAATCGGTACAGTAATAGATCACTTGAGTAGCACGGTGAAGATCAGAGTAGCAGCCCCTTTATCCGAGTACCTAGCCCACGCCGTACACAAGCCCGTACCAGGTAGGCTGGATCGTGAGTTCATACTGAAGTAGGCAGTTGATAGTACCTAGATGCTAGGTAGTTGTGTTTGGAGTTGATTGTATATGTAGGTAATAGATAGGTACCTAGGTAGGTAGTTTTTGAATGGCAGTCTACTTTTACATGTTGGCTGTGGTGAGAAATATCCGGAGGCCAGATAGGAAGTTGCGCTAGTGTAAGGGTATCTAGGTACTACTTATTGTATAGATACATACCTACCTATGCTTGAAGACTTCGATCACTGCTGCACCTGGATTATAGGGGGCTCTAGTGCCCGGCTCGCCCCCTTTGTGGGTAGCCGTATACCTGAAATCACGATTTATAGTGGCACCTAAGGGAGTGATAGCACTGGGCAGTAACTGGGTCTGCACTAACTACGGCAGCTGGAAGGTACCCAAGGTAGCTAGACACAGTGGCAGCTTTGTTGTGGCGGGCACGCGACGAGGCGAGGATTTATCTGGGGCCCTCGACACTACCTAGGTACCTACTGGCACACCCCCTGCTCGTCCGGCTCCCCCCTAAAACCCATAATAAGTTGGATTCCAAAACGTTTCGGCTTTTCTTGTCCATGTCTTGACCATCCTCTCCATCCCTCTTCTCCTGCCATCCAGTCGACCATCCCGTTTCTTCCGTTTCGGATTCATTCGTTTGTCCATATTCCTTCACCGTAGAGGAAGAGCACTCGCTCCCATACTTCCTCCTCTTTAATATACACCCACAAACACACTCGCATCAACATTAACATCAACAACAACGGCTGTGGCCAGTTCGACTTCTTCGCCTACCCTACGCACGATATTCTTTCGATCCTGTATAGCGAAGTGATCTCCAAGTCGACCGAACCACGCGTCTCGTGAAGGCGTGAGAAGACTAGAGAACTTGAGCCCGTACCAACCAAGTCTTTGTAATAAGGTTAGTCAACTATTTCCCGTTGCTATTTCTTTCCACAGTTGCCGTTCAACCGCAGCAAATATTATACATCTCATCGCGGGTTGCTCCTATACCATGATGTTTGTGATGGATCGAGAGGTGCAGGATGTCAATTGGAACAAGACGAAGGGCCAGACGATCGGGTGCGACGTGATGGTCGAGAGCTCGGCTGCTGTAAATAATAGGACCCAGGATCTGGATATTATGGTCGCAACATGCATTGAGCCGAGACTCAAACTTTGGCATAACGGCAACGGCAGGAGTGGTATGACTACTGGATGACGTCGGGGACCATCGCAATATGCGCACCCATCTTTCCTGGTCACGAAAGTACGGGAACCTATTGCCCCAATCGCAGCCATCCACGATACTGGACCGAAGCAGGCGTCTCCAAGACTTTGCGTCTAGCTTCTCTACTGAAGCTGCAATGTGGTTCTAGTAAGAAGCGAGTATCGGTGAACAACATTGCCACCAACAAGTTTAGGAGTTTCCAGTTGCTTGCACCCGCATCTCGCAGGCAGCCCGACGGATCACTAGAACGGGCCGCATGGCAATCACGGAATTAGTTGGTCGAGGATACCCATGCTTTCCTCTGCACAATTGCCTGGTCTAGCTCGACGTGGGACTTGATTGCGTCGTACTGGACCTGTTACACAGACTGGCTCAGCATCTTTCTCAGCTACGCCCTGCGGTTCAAGCCAATCCTGAACATCTATTCTACACTTTGAATCATCTCTCTAGGCTCATCATCGCTTTTTGGACGCATTGAACCAAGCGGCAAAGACGTTCTATTTACTCTCCACCTTTGATTACTTGTTTTTGACTGGCGCCGGCTTCTCGGTTGCCTTGTTTACCTTCGTCGTTCAAGTACACTTTTACTGCCGCGAACCCAGCACTGACTATCTTCCTACTCGCAGTCAAAATGTACAGTAAAGAGCTAGTCTCAGCTGTCGCGGCCTTTGGCCTCATTTCTGGTATGTGAAAGGCTTTAACTGGATGCATTCTGGGCATCTCACTAACAACATTTCTGCAGGCGCTGCTGCTCTGGGCTGCAAAGATGATCCTGTCGAGGTAAACAACCAAGCCGATGCTACTCAAGCCGCGGACTGCTCCACCATTCCCAACGATCTCGTTCTGGGTCCTGGAGCGGGCCCAATGATCGATCTCGGTGGCCGTTTGACGTCAATTGGTGGTAACTTCGTCGTTAAGAACAACGGGCTTATTCAGACTCTGCAATCTTCTTCCCTTGAGAAAGTCGGTGGCGATTTCCAACTAAACAATGTGACATCTCTCACCTCGTTGATCTTCCCTGAGCTGGGAGAAGTCGGTGCCATCAACTGGGTTACTTTGAGCTCGCTCCAGGAGCCTACCTTTGGTAACCCCGGTATCACGAAGGCCAAGAGCGTCAAGGTTGCCGATACGTTTGTCGCCAACTTGGACGGCATCAACGTCCAGGATCTAGAAGACATGGACATTAACAACAATCGCCGGTTATCAAAGTTCATTACTAGTATTAAGAGCTTGTCCAATACCCTTCGTGTTAATGCCAACTCTCTCAACATGACGATGGAAATGCCCAACCTGGAGTCAATTGCCAACATGACTATTTCCAACGTCAGCACATTCGCTATTCCTTCTCTCAAGACCGTCAACGGTTCCGCCTACTTTGACTCTAACTACTTCTCTGAGTTCTTTGCTCCCAACTTGACGAAGGTTCAGGACGGCTCTCTATCATTCGTTAGCAACCCCCAGTTGACGAACATCTCGATTCCCCAACTAGAGAAGGTTGGTGGTGGTTTAACCATTGCCAACAACACCGCACTCAACAAGATTGACGGCCTAGGATCCCTTGCCGATGTCGGTGGTGCTATCAAGATGCGTGGTTCTTTCGATGAAATCGATCTGCCCAGCCTCAACAATGTTGTCGGAACCGCTGAATTCGTCAGCACTGAGGATATCGAGAGCTCTTGCGAGGAGTTGAATAAGCTCAGCGGAAACGTTGTCCAAGGCAAGGTTACTGCTTGTGACAGTGATAATGCAACGGCTAACAACGACACCTCCACTGCTGGTGATGGTGACAGTGGCAGTGGCAGCGGTAATGGTAGCAACGACGATGACAGCGCTGCTTCCCTTGCTGGTGCTAGCCTGTCAACCGTCTTTACCCTTGCCGCCCTTGGTGGCCTTGTTGCCACCTTCTTGTAAATCGGCGGGGTTTGATAATGTACCGAGGCATGCCTCAAATTCTTTCTTCCTCTCATGTCAGTATGTCGTTTGATGAGCCGCTTTCCGCGACTGGCGTTGTGCTACGTACAAGAATTTGCTAGACTTAATACCGATGTGTTTATCTCCTGGAATCCCGTGGCTTTGTCTTTAATACCTCTCTGGTCGTATGATGCATCGTCAACTTACAAAAAAAAGCAACACTCGTCATGCCGCATCAGCACTCGACACGTCACCGCCAGTAGTTGTGGCCAGCAGAGATAAGGAGTTAAGGATTTCACTCGATTAGGACATTTCAAAACGCTTGGACTTTCACGACTTGTTGGGAAATGAATAAAACAGACGGAGAAGTGTTGTAAGTAGGTAGTGAACCATTGTTCCTCGACGGAACAGTCTAAGAATGGAGACGATGGGAGAGTTTGATGGTTCAGAAGAAGAGACAGCAGCCAAAGCCCCGAAGACAGAATACATCTAGGATGGCTTCTATTTTAATACATGATTACTCTTTTTTTTTTCCTCGACCGCTTTGTTGTGTTTCTTTCGAATCGCCTGTGATGAATGATGATTTGCAAATGATAATTATTGCTGTTAGGCTGAGATGTGGTAACAGTTTGGGCGTATCTTAATGGGCGAAACATCTTCACTGCGAGAATACCTTCTTACGATATTTTCTTCAGTCACTTCGATTTTTGCTATCACCGTACGTTGCACTAATAACACATAAGTGAACAGTCTTTTGTTCCCCAAAAGGGTGTATCAGGGGCTGGACAATATAGAGTCAATGTTATTATCACGGAAGAATTGTATGCATGAGATCTTGACCTTATGTCTAATCGTGAGATATAGGTAGGTAAAGTCAAAAGGTAGCTCGATTTATCTTTTCAATCAAGTTCCTCCCATCATCTATTCTTTTCTCTCATTCATAGATCCGACGCTCGAATTTGTCGGGGTCGTAGTACTGTGGCACGATGGCGTTCCCAGCGAAGATGCGGCCGTCGAGGGCGTTGACTGCCTGTTCATTACCCTCTGTTAGCGCGATATCCAACACAGATAGAATTCTAGAAACCTAAGAATGACTTTCAGAGTTAAGAATGCGATATACGTACCTTCAATGCTGAGACTGTATCAGTGAACTTGATAAACACCCTGCGGCCCTCGATGTCGATATACAACCTCTCGACGCGGCCGTATTTCTCACCACACTCCTCGCCAATCTCCTGCCCAAGACCGTTCTCCATCTCAGTCTGCACGTCTTCCATGCCGTCTAGCATGTTACGCAGTACTATGACGTTGCTCATGGTGCCGAATTTGTCTGCGCTTTCAGTGGTAGATGAGGACGTGCCTGTCCCCGTCTTCGACCCTATGATCTTGCCTCGACCACCTGGCTCCGCCCATCCCCCGCCCTCGGCGTCGGATTTCTTCTTGCGCTTCTCGACTTGTACACGCAATGGATTGAGTATACCAGAGCCCTCGGCACCGAGACCTCGACCCTTCTCCCAGCCATACTTGGACATCAGGCGCGCGGCAAATCCCTTCTGTCCTGGTCGGTTGGCCCGGGGTGCTGCTACCTCTTCGTCGTCTGCTGTGGATGAAGGCTCGGGCGGGACGTAATCGATGCCATCGTCATCCTCATCCACATCCATGGAGTCAGGCTCTCTCTGTGCTTGGGGTTGCTGTGGCGGTGCATAACGCACGGGTTCGCGTGATATTGTCGAGGAGTCGGGTTCTGGAGGCGGCGGTGGAGGAGGGATGGGGGATTGGGGTGGTGGAGGCGCTTGCCCTTGTGACATAGCTAGACGGCGCGCGTATGCATCATCGCCGCTCTTGTCTTCGGGTAATGGAGCGCGCGGGGGCGACGGGGGTGGCGGCGCAAAGGAGTAAGAGTCGGGGGGCGCAAACTGATCTATGAACAGAGCCTCAGTTAGTGATCGTTTCCTCTTAGCACTATTTCTCGCTTGAAGTGTAGACCTACTGTTAACTGGACGCTGATCGTCGTCTTCCTCGCTGTCCCAACTGTCTCTCCTATCGTCGCGCCTCCGGTGCTTGTAGAGCAGTGCTTTCCACTCCTGCACCTCACGTATTTTCTCGTCGCTCCGTAGATACTCGTCGACGTTGGTCGGCCGGGAAGGATCATATATCTCATCCCAATCTGTTTCCATAGGCATGGCTTCTAGTTTCTTCTTCTTTTTCCGGCGACCACCGCGAGGCCGTTTCTCGCCTGTGCCGTACATGTATTCATCATCTTCGTTAGCCGCCCAGTCGGCCAACGAGCTTTTCACAGGGGCCGTATTGGCAGCGTTCTGGGCCCTGACCTCGGCGTTGGCGGAGGCGGCAGCGCTCGTAGTATTACTAGCTGTAGGCAGTACTTTTGGGAAGGCCGCCTTTGGCTTCTGGATCTTCTGCTGCGGACGCCGTATTTGCTGGTGCGGCTGGAAGCGCAGGGCTGAGCCGACGGGGGGTTTTGAGGCTTCTTGTTCTTTAACAGCATCTATGGCCTCTTGCGACACTACAGGGGCTCGAGATATAGATCCTGGCGCATTGCTTTCGGGTTCGAGTAGGTTGGCATATAGGGAAAGACCGCCGCTGCGTGGCGGAGGCGGATTGCCCGCCATTGAGTTACCCGCGTGTGAAATGCTGGATACCAATGAGATCAAGATGAGATGAGGCAATAGACGGCTTCAAACAAAGGGAGCAATTCAAAGCTTCGCAGACGCGACGCGATAACGAGATGGAGAGCAATGAGGTAGCTAGAGTGCAGTAGCTCTGTGCCCCTAATGCCTAATGCAAGTAAGTATTCAGTGAGGCTGAAAGCTATAACTTGGCGGTTGCACTTGCATGTGGAGACTTACCTACGTACATACATTGTAGGTAATTTTTTCACGTCCCATTCATCATTAACGCTTCGTGCTTCTCGTTGTTTACCACGCAGCTCGGCTTAAAGTCCTCTACGGTTAATGGATATTTGAAATGTCTACAGAGTCGGCTCGCAAGGGCTTCCATGTGGCCTTATTCACTGAAGTCGACCACTAATAAACAAGCTCGCAGCTTGCAAGTGCTACCAGCAAGGGATCCCTTAACGTATTGGACTCAACCTACCTAGGTACTCAACATAAATGTTCCAGGCTTCGGTTATTTTTCAGTGCCCTGATTGTACCATTACATGCTGGCTGGGATGCCTAGTTGCAACGCATTTATCAGTTGTACATCACAGACGCCCGCAGCAGCAGCGGCGAGGCAACAACTAGCAACCAAATTAACATGATAAATAACTAAGACGGGCTCCCTAATCAATGAATTCTCTTTTTATATTCCTTACTTTGGTGACGGGATAGCCACCAACATGGTTGATGTACTAAGGACGTGACTAGGTTTCGACAGTATTGGGGTTTTCGATACAACGCTGGTGATACAATCTTCAATTTGCTGGATTCAAGTATGCACCAAGGACATCAACACCGACTACGGCTAAAGTAGTTTTTCAAAACAATAGAAGGATAGAAGAAATAGAATCGATTTTTTCATAATTTCTGGGTATCTCGTAATTCCGTCCTTCCTTGCTCGCTCGCTTCCAAACATGAAAATTTAAACAAAATCCACAAACGCATGAATTACATGACGGTCAATTGAGATGAGGGGGTTTTCCATGCCTCCAGATTTTCCCCCAATAAAACGCCAATCGTGAAAAAAGAGATGAGATTCAAATCCGAGATCGTAACTCCGAAGCTGTTCGCCTTTGCTTTTTTGCTTTTTCTTTCTCCCCCGCAAAATGTCAGATGCTTAGAGCATGCAGTGTGCGGTGAGCGCAAGCCTTGGCGTCCAGCAGCTGTCGTAAAGGTGCCGGCGAACCATAAAACAGCAAGTAAGTTGCTAGGTAGGTAGTGCGGGCAGATACAGTAGGCATGCAAGGTTATCATCAAGCCACATTGTTCCTTAACGTTTGAGGTTGCTGATGGTGTGCCTCTTTTGCTTCCTCCCTTTTGGTGTGTTAAAGCTCGCCTTTTCTCCTTCCCAATTGGCGACCCCAAGGTCTCGGGCGCACTCAATACCCCGGTCAGGAAAATGTAACCTTCGCATGGCCGAGGTAGGACTCAGGATGGAGAGAGTGAGACGTAAGTAGGCGTAAGTAGGGAATGAGAGCCGTCGTCATGGTCGAGCGGGTCGGAGTTCTCAGCCCAGCCGTCCCTCATCCTCTTCCCCATCCTCTTCCCCTCCCTCTCTCACCCTTGCCCCATGCCTAGTATGGGAGGTGTATACCCGACACCTGCTCGGATGCGCCTGCTAAGCTGGAGAGCTTACATATATAGCATGCAGCAATGCATCCATGCCTTGCATGATCCTCCTAACCACCATTACGGCTGATTCTGAACAGTGAGATCGGTCGATTTATCGCTGATATATGTCCAGCTACCGGGATTGGAGGCCGGTAGCAGGGAGGTGGTGAGACACTTTTCAGTCGTAGATGATCTCGTCATCCTCCTCCTCGTTCTCGTAGAGCTTTCCGGGCGTTACGAGGCGTCTGGGCTGCTCGCCTCCTCCCGACTCCCCGCCCCCGCCCTCGCCCTGGCCGTTACCCTGGGCTTGGCTCTGCAATAACGACTGCGTACTCTGTGCTACCGCTGCCTCGAGCGAGGCGTACACAGTAATGGGCGCACCATTGAAGTCTCGCGGTATGACAAATGGCTGCTGCGCTGGCTCAGGATCGATCTCGGTTGCGAAGCTTGAGGTCGACGAGCGTCGTGAGAGCGTGTGTGTCCTGTATTTAGAGTGCAGTTGTGAAGAGAAAACGGAGTCGACGGTGGTGGTGGCAGCCGATGATGCGATGGATTTTGCATCGTATGAGACATGTCCCCGTGATGCCCTCCAGCGCGCGGACTCCCTTTCTATATGCTCCTGGAGCGAAAGCATCACGCTTGGATTGTTGGTGGTCGTGATGATGATGGTAACTAGTAGTGTTGAGGATGATATGACGCAAGGGGGTGTAAGTGGGTGTTTCCTCACTCAAACGGAGAGGTTGCCCAGTGTCCTCAGATTGTTTTTGAGTACTAGGAAGATCTGAAGGTTTTATATAGGCAATACAGTCAGTACGTTACTTTTACCTGGTATCTATGAAAGTAAAACTTATTCTGCCATGTTTTGGTAGGGAAGGGAGGCCAGCTCTCTTTATCTTCTCGAGGGAGGACGAGCAGAGTGAAGAGGAGGGGTGACGGTGACGAATGATCAACAACACCAAGAACAGACAAGCCTCAACTCCCCTGCCTCTAACTACTCATCTTGCATGCCGCCCCAGCATCTACATCTACAGCTACATCTATAGCTCGAGGAATTAACCTCCCTGCTTGGTGTCAGTATTACATGGGTATGGGGCAATATCCAATATCAAGCGCGGTTTTTGGTCAAGCCACCACGATCATGTAAGGGGTCCGCACGCCGAGCCGGGGATTCAAGCATGCCGAGGCTCCTATCTGGTCGATCAGATGGCCTCGCGCCCAAATTCGCTGGGCGAATTGAGCAGAACCAGCCAAAACAAATCACTATCTATTACCCTGTTCTGTTTCGCAGGGCGGCTATGCCCGCCCGGCTCCAGATAGTCCGACAAACATACTGTCAGAGTGATGCACCGCCGAGAATCGGCCAAGAAGCTTGGCTATTTGCGGTATTGATCCCCTCGAATTGAGGCAGGCGAGGCAGGCAATGGAAGCTCCCATTTCTTGCACTATGTTGTTCTAGTGACCTACTTACAGTAGATACTGTACTCCATGCACTCTGCCATTGCGCGAATTGACAATCGATGACATGCTATGACGAGAGGAAAGGCAAAAAAGGAGTTTTTCGCTGAGGCGTTTCGACTTATCGATTTCACCATAGCTTCATCTTCGCTCCACGCATTTGAGTTGAGCTTGTGCAAAAAAAATGACGACATTTGTCCAGGGTTCTGGGGGGGTTTTTTTTTCGCTCGTTTCTGCCTATTTTTAGTCGTTCAAACAAAACACACCTGAGGGCATGAGAGAGCCGACGATAGCCCTTCCGCTTTCGCAGCAAGTAAAACCACCGAGCGCACCGAGGTACCCAGGCAGAAAGTATGTAGGTAGTGTGTGAGATAGGCGTGTTCAACCTACTGGTCCTAGCAGCTTGTCCCCGTGTTGAGAAAAAAAAACCTGGAATCAATGGTCAGATGACCCATACGACAACTTGCGCAGTACAATCCGCCGAAGCCTGCAAGTCCCTACCTATTCTCTTTGACAGGGGATAGAGGGGGAGGCTGAGGCAGACGTACCCCAATTTCCAATTACCGTCAGTAGGTTATTGGCAATGCTTGGTATATCATGCACCCCAGAGTCTGTGATCTACGTAGCAACTTCGGATTTGCATAACAGCCTCGAATAGTAGACATGTAGCAGAGTGCTGGACGCTACCGGTAGGTCCCGTGAACCCTCAAAGCGATGGGTGGTATATAATTCTACTCTCTTGTTCTCTAGTATGACACTCAACCGATCAGAGCCGAACAAGACTCGCGCTCGCGACTCGGTTCTTCTCGCTTCGAGTTGGGTTGCAAGCGTCATGTATCATTGGCTCTACTACGTATGTCCCTCCAGGTATGGCGGCAGGTCCTATTCGGATACAATTCGGAGAGTACGGACAAAGCTACTCTACATTCCTGTAACATACTCTCGCGCCCTCTCGTCCAAATGAGGGGAAGCCACCTAGAATGCTCATGTATGATTAGGTAGATACCTAGATAGACACTAGCGGCAGCGTCTTGGCTCATTGAATCGAGGGCCTTGGCTGTGAGCGAACCAGAACAACTGTGAAACAAAAGCACACTGTCAATTTCGTCAGGGGAAGATCATCATAGATATCATGATTAAGTAGTAACCCAGCCGCACCAGCTTCCGGTATAGAATAAAATACCTCTGAGATAAGACGCAATGATGGTGAGCTTTGATGGTAGCTTAGACAATGAGTAGCGCCCCCGTTGCGGGGTTACGTGTAGTAACACCCAACCTGCGTCTACTCTTGGATGAATTAAACAAGAACATGCCGCAGTACCAACCCGAACGATATCTATGCCATGAGATTCCATACAGAGTCGCTACTCTAGAGTAGCTACGTATTCGTACAGATAGTTAATTATCTGCCTTACAAAGGAGTAATTAAGCGTCTTGGACGGTATAATTACCCCGAAGTAGCCAAGACGAAAAGGCATGTCGTAGCACCTACATTTTCCCTCCGATCGTGGGGGTCATCCAACATCCTCCACAAACTACCTACATGTATGCGTAAAGGGCGCGCGCGTTGTACATCCACTAGATACTGATATTACACGCCCATACACTACCACCACGGAGACCTACATACTGCGTAGCCTAACAAATCGTCACGCAACTAGCCATAGTACCCAATCCCACCTATTCCTTCTCCCGAGAACGTTTCCCCAACACTTGACGGGGCTGAACAACACAACACAACCCTCGGGCCTATTTATACGCCCAGGCCTGCCAGTCCGCTGCCTCACCTCACTTTCACATGGCATCCCGACCTCTTCTAACCTGTCTATCACGTCCATTCTCCAAACGCGTGCTTGCGGCGCCAGCACCTCCTTTTTCCGCAACAAAGCTAGGGATCTCACTGCCGAGATCCAAGTACTTCGCGTATCCAATGGCGTCCATATCGACCCCGCCGGAAGGCAAATGGGAGTGGCTCGTCGTCGTCCCCGACAAGGCCGGTGTGCACGAGAAGAGGCTATCTGTTCGCGCGTGAGTTTAGCCACTTCCATCACTCCCTCCCACCTTCTCCTCACGTTACTCGTCATGCTGTTCTCATCTCCCAGTATGGGAGGACAGAATCATGGTATCACCATCCCGCCATTGGAGCGACATCACCATCGGAAAACCCCGAAGTTGGAGAATGACTTTGCAAATATCGGTGCTAACAAACTCGCTTCCCCTCACGCAGGCAACATCTAGCAGGCACAAAGCCGCTTGAAGAGTCAGGGTTCATCAAGACTGGAGGTTAGTCCATCCCATCTCTTCCGCCAAGTATTTCTCCACAGTATATGTATACACATATGAACACATGACGAGAGAGAAGAATACATAGAAAGCTAAATCAAACTGCCCTCACAGGTGCCATCTTCAACGAGAAGCCCGAGAGCCAAGATGCTACCAAGTTCAGCTTCTACGGCAGCACACTAGTGTGCGTCGCCTCATCAAAGGAGGAGATCCTCGAGAGACGTAAGAAGCCCTAAGTGTTGGGTTTACCTACATGCTTTGGGAGCAGAGAGTTTGTTTCTCTGTTACAAGGCCGCCCTCGTGGTGTCTGCGCAAAGGTTCACAAGTCGCCTGGTGACTGACTTAACGGATCACAGTGAACAAAGATATATATGCAACAAGTGGTGTATGGGATATGGATAAGGTGAGTTTTTTTTACCATCCTTTTATGAATACTTGAATACCTATCTGTCATCTGTAACATCTACATGAGCTCTCTTCGCCCTTTACACGAAATTCCATTCACTGACATATAGCTCGCAGATACAGATCTGGCCTGTAAGTTACGAATTGCCATGCAGCACTCGGAGCCAACAAATATAGTACTAATCCGTTTCATAACGTGTAGGCTAAGTTTGCATTCCGCAACCCTTAGTGCCGAAGACGGTAAAGGGGATAGACGAGGTGGAAATGACTGCCAACGTTGGTACAAGATACAATTACAATTCTTGCTAAATCAAATGACTCATTGCCCATGACCGCTTTGCACAGCTCGAACGGCCTGGTAATTTGCGAAACTATCACTAGAAGTATTAGCGCGCAAAGAATTCACTTGTCAAAGCAAGCCTCAACGTTGTGTGGATTATCGTATGCTTGATGAGGAAATTGGAGCGCTATCCGCCGCTCCCTATCATAACATAAATTTGTGGTACAAGTACCGTACAGTTAAAGACATTTATCGAACATCTGGTGTCTGTGCTCTTGATGCAGCATCCTCCGCTGCGATCCTGAGTTCATAGTTCAATTCGAAGCACTCAGAGAGCAGACCTATTACACTGCCTTGCCCTTCCGGTATATCGTCGGCAACCATAAACTTGCCGTCAACTCTCATATTGTCTATGGAATTAAGCTTTCATCTAGGTTAGCAAAGCCAGATAAACCACGCGTGGGTCTGGACAGCCCACCTTCATACTGTATGGGTACAGCTCACGAACAGAGCTAACACCGCCACTGTTCTTCACCTCGAGAAGGCAACGTTTCAGTGTTTGTAGTTGATTATATATTGGTAGCAACGCCTCGGAGACTGGTTCGGACGATATCATGAGATGGTATATGTAACCATATGAGCGACGGATGAGATACAACAATGTCTACTCCAGATTAGGAAACAATTGGTCAGCTTGTATATAGAGAGCACGTACCCGTTGGACATAGAGCTCCGCAGGCTGGCCATCTTCGTCTAACCAGTTGCCATCAACGCGGCTTTCGTCAATCTTGTCAAGCTGTCGTTGAAAGTCGTATAGGTCAGTCTCTCGCAGTGACCAAGCCTGCGTCAGGGATAATTTATCGAGATCGTTTCGAATGCTTATGAGGACATCGTAAATTGGCCTCCACTTGTCGGGAAATTTGCCGCCCCTGAGTAATGCAATGAGTACGGGTTAATTTTGATGGTATATGTAACTGACCGTTCCAGAACTACGCCTGTATATAATTGGCATCTCTTAAGTAAAGATACAACCCCGTCACTGCCTTGCAGGACATTCCCCTGTTCATCGACGAAATTGCCATCTTTCCTCATCTCGTCAATCTCTTTGAGTTGTAATTCGAACTTATGTATGTCCTTAGGATGGAACTTTAGAGAACCGTTAGCAAATTTTACGTAGCCTTGGCATGAGAGTGGTAGATAATTCTACCTTTGATTTCGTATTAATCATTGCCATTTGTCTCAGTATAGAGACAAGTTTCTCGGCTGTAGGTCTCAACGGTTCTGCAATATCTTCAATCTTTTTCTGAAGTTTGGTGAGAGATGCTCGACATCGTTCGATGCGGCTTGCAATGAGATCCTCGAGCCATGGGTTGGGTTCGTCTGAGGAGCTATCATGTACTATCTCAGATAGATGCTCGAGAGTATGCGACATGCTGTCCAAATCTTTAGCGGAAAACAAGTCGGCTTCCGTCAGGTGGTCCAAGAGCCGCTTGATTGTTGATGTGAGGGAATACGCCGCAGGGGCCTCGTTGTTCCGCCCAATCGTCATGAAAAAGAGTGATAGCAGCTGAAAGCAGCTATCCACTACTCTATCGACTACATGGATATTCGACCTGTTAGAACCCTTACTTATGCTAATTAAGGCGTTTAGGACAACCAGATATCTTAAACGTACCTCTGTTTTCCTCAACGGACTTCCCACTTCGGATTTCATTGAGACGCTTGACTTGTTGGGTAGTCTCATCGTACAGAGTCATAACATCTTGGGTACGGACATAGGTGGTACGGTCTAGCTTCCGAAGTAATAATTTATCCTGAATCTCGACGAGTTTCGCCAAGACTTGCTTCTCTCCCTCATCCTGAGGGGGTGGAAACTTCGGCGTCTCCATGGGGGCGTCAAGAAGTCGTTGGTAGTTCAGTTGGTAGTGTATGTGTGACTTAGTTTGGAAAAGGAGACAATCAAGCCGATATATAGACAAGGGGAAATGATGGTGAGTCTCCAGTGACGGGAGCAGAACAGTTACATTTGTTCAAAAAGAAAGTTCAGCCCCTCTCCGTAGGATATAGTAGCGTGGCGACGTTGTCAACCTTGGCTACCAGTCAGATTAGATAGAGATGTCCACGACAATGAAACGAACAGTCATGGCTCGTACCGATGTACGCATGGATTATGGCAAGCGACAAAGCAGTGTCCAATTACGTCAAGCGAAGGACACGAGAAAAGGACCCTGGCTGCACAGTCTGCACAAGGGGCATTGACCAAAGGAGCCGAATGTGGAAGAGTGCTGTTGGGATGTCGGACTCGAGCAGGAGAATTATGATTGGTACCAGAGCTTGAGGCCCTTCCTGCGTCTGACGAACAGTCTTCAAGGGTGCTTCTCTAGCAGGGCCGTAGGCGTGGGCCGGAAAGGTCGAGGTGGGGAGACAGCCGTGAAGCGCCGTGAAGCTGGCGGAGGAGGGGCAGTGGCGTCAGCTTACAAGCAACCTTAAACGTCGATACCTCAGGGTTGGGTGAGTGAGCTTGTACCTGGGTACCTACGTAGCTTCCACGGTTGATTACCGCATTAGGTAGGCAACTCGTGGAGTCAATAATACTCTGTAATTGAATATCGCATATGAACAGTCGCCCCGCTCCCCATCACCTGAAGGGGGGTTTGATAAGGTCAACTCCCGTCCCGACCTGACTCAGCCAGCTGTCGTCTGCCCGCCACACAAGCCCCATATAATATACCGGTATTGTGGCTTATCGGCGCCTCGTTTTTCCACTGGCTCTAGCCCTAGTGTACAATTCCGCCCACCAAAAATTTCCAATTGACGAGCGACCTACTTCGGGTAATTAATCCAGAGCGCAAGTCAACCACCTTCGAGGCGTCCATCCTGCCATTTCGCACAGACAACAGCACTTCACGTCGTCGTCCACACCACAAACCATCACAATGTCGACCGCCGAACTCGCCTCCTCATACGCCGCTCTCATCCTCGCGGATGACGGTATTGAGATCACTGTGAGCCCGCCCGGAACATTCCCAAAAATGCCCCTCCTCGCATGCGAATCTGGAGCCGTTGGGATACCAATACAGACAATGAATCTATTCTAACCACTATTTTCATAGGCCGACAAGCTACAGACCCTGATCAAGGCTGCCGGTGTCATCGATGTTGAGCCTATCTGGACACAACTTTTCGCCAAGGTACGCACACGAAACCCGTGAATTGGGCCAGGCGGACCGGATTTGCTGATTTAGGGGAATTTAGGCTCTTGAGGGCAAGGATGTAAAGGAGCTGCTCTCTGCCGTCGGCTCCGGTGGCGGCGCTGCTGCTGGCCCTGCTGGCGGTGCCGCCGCTGGTGGTGCTGCCGCTGCCGAGGAGGCCCCTGCTGAGGAGAAGGAAGAGGGTACGTTTTTTCCTTTTCGCACCCCCAACGTGGAAAATGCGCTGCATTCATTGGCTTTTACTGACACCCACTACAGAGAAGGAGGAGTCTGACGACGACATGGGCTTCGGTCTTTTCGACTAAATTCATTCCGCAACGACGACTTAACTTCCCTTTGTACTTCAAATGCATGGTTCGGGGTTCCATACACCATTGGTGTGGCGTGAAGGAGGCACTACTATGTCTGCCTAGGAGCAAATATCCTTCTGTCATAGGTTAATATGACAAAATGCTTTCGCAAATGACCATTTATTCAGCGGTCTTTGTAGAGCTCAGTACGCGGCTACGATGTGATTGGGATGCAAATCTGATTTTCGGTGTTACTGGCCTTAGATGAAAAAGAGGACCCCGGAATGAAAATGACGATTCTTGCATGACATGCGATATCTGTGTTATTGTTGTTTTTGCCCCATCGTTTAGCTGATGTTGAGAGTCGCCTGCACCTAAATCAATACGCCACGCCATGCATTCTTACCATGACCACCGTGCCTGCTTGTCCTCTTGAATTTCTATTGTACAACAAGCGCAGCGCTAGGCACGAGACCTGCCTCCTTGAGTGTTTTTCCAAAATCCAGATTTCCTTCAAAGACCTTTCGGGGGAAGTTCTGGATGAATTTAGTGACTGCTGATCCATTCTCGGCCTCTACCATTTGCGCCACCTCGAAGAGCGTTGTTTCGGCCGGTAAAGTCCTCATGATATTTCCACTAGGAGTTTGTAGTCGTAAGCGGGCCTCATTATGATTTGCAGCAGGACGAGAAGCCGTTGCGGCAGGAGCCGGAGCCGGAGCCGGAGCGGCAGCAGGAGGAGCCTTTCCCTCTCTGGCTGCCTTTGCCTCCTCGGCCTTGCGCCGTCGCTCCTCTTTGTCGGCCTCAATCTTGGCCTTGATGCGCTTCTTAGCCTCCATCTCGTCAATCTTCTCCTGCCGCTTCTTGGCTGCTTCCTTGATCTGCTCCTTGCGTTGCAGCTCTTCCTTAAGATCTTGTGACTCTTTTGTAGCCTTCTGACGAATTTGCTGGGGAAAGCAGTCAGCCTATACGAAACATTTTGAAGATTCATCTCAAAGGAATGAAAACATACTTCATTCCGCTTCTGCTCCTCCTTATCCACAATGGCTTGGTTGGCTCTCTTTGCCTTAACCTTTTCCCGGAGCTGGATGAGCCTTTGCTGCTTCTCCTCCTCGGTCAAGGGTGCGATTTCCTCAGTTGACTCTGAGAAATCGGAGTGGCCTCTATATTTTTGGTGTGTGAGCGGGTAGGCTGGGTAACACGCGCCTCTCCCCTTTCATCGATAACTTACGACTTGTTTGCGTGGAATTCAGCTTCTCGTTGAGACCGGAACTTTTTGTCACACTCGTTGCAAACGAGCGACATGGCGACGCTACCTCCCTCGACCTTGGCAACGCTGGGACCTGCTTCTTCCTCCGCTAGTAGTTCCTCGATATCCGTGTCCTGATTCTTTTCTAGCCAATCCATCGCATCCGGCACTGTTAAGTGGTTAGGGTACTGGAAACTATATCACTGGTATTCACGGTAACATGACTCACGGCCATCGGACCTCTTGACAGCCAGTTCAGCACGCTGCTTGTCAAAGCCCATTTCGAGCAGCTGGTCGAGGAGAGATTGTGACATATTGGCTACGTGTGATGCTCTGGGGCAGTATGAAGGCAGGGGTTGGTTCTTCAGGTGGACTGCAGTGTGTACTTGCGATGAGATGTTATGATTGTAAATAAGTGTCTTCAAGGGATTCCACGTCCTAGATGCTCGAGATATAAAGACGTGAGAAGGTGCATAGAAATAAATATGCCTAGAATGATACGGTGTAAGGAAAGGTGCTGATAAAGGTGCCTCTTCACCTAATGTACTTAAGGTAAGGGACTCAGCATTAACGATAAGTGAGACGGCCTCATGTGCTATCAAAGGGACGTCATTGCGATGTTGCCTCAGTAGATGCCTAATATTACTTGGGTAATACCAAGGCACAATGCGCGGTTACATTTTTGCAGTGATTGTGCATCCCGATCATGTCTGCATGTCTTAAACCTGCATAGTGCACAAGCGGGGCTTACTGATCAGGTCTCCAGTACTTACGACTCTGCGATAATTGGCGTTGAATACTAGGAAGGGTAGCGAGACTGTCTGTACCCAGTACCCAGCATGCAGACCTACATCATAAGAATACCTAAGATACCTCAGTACCCCTCCAAGTCACTTTCGGTCATTCTAGAATCCAATGCGACTGGCACTTCTTGCCATTCACCAATTCCCTTACATAGTGAAAACTAGTTCATTGTGGAAATCGGGCCGTGAAAAGGCCACTATTTCCCAACAATAAAAAAAACATATACATATATATTCTGGTATTAGAACTGGCTCTGCAGAGGAGTAGCAGGTACACTCAAGTACGTACGTACCTACCGAAGCTCGTTGGGTGAGGTCAATTCATTGGCCAGCAGGCGATGCCGAGCAACCGGACGTGGTCTGTCTTTGATGGCCCATGGCCCATGGCCCATGGGGGCAGCAAGGAGCAGATAGGAGAGCAATTGGTGATATCGGGTGATGCAATTTAAGTTACCTACATACGTACATATTTACATACGTAAGTAGTAGTATGTACCTGGTCTCGCTAGTCTAGCGCAACAGGTACAGAGAGACAAGTCCCTCCTCCGTCCCTGGGCCATCCACCATCGCTCTCACCTTGGGGGCTGTAACAACACCACCACTCACTTACCTAGGTACCTACTTACTGACTTATCTGAGCGGTTTGTCAGGTCCAAGACGGCCCTTTCAATCCTCATTATCGTCATCCCCATTCTCCATTTGCTACCCACCGCGCTAAAGCTACGTCACCAACCAGCCCTGCGTCTCTTACCTTGCCCGGGCAGTTTTGTTTTGTTTCGTCCTGTCGTAGTAGTATTCGCTACCGCACCCGAGCCTCAGGCCAGCTTGCGATAATCTCCATCCACTTGCCCTGGGTTTTCGCACCTCCCCTCACTTCGACCTGTCTTCCCGCCGGGTTCCCTCCGACGAAACCACAACCGTATATAAGTTCGAGTAGACACTATTCAACATGTCTGTCGAGATCGAGCCCCAGGAGCTCGGCTTCCACCGTATGTGACCACGATATCATACACACTAACCCTCTCTCCTGGCATCATGTCCACCGCTTACACGTGCAGGCCCCTTCACCGTCGAAGCGCTGGAAAACCTCAAGATTCGGAATCCAGGCACCCAGCCAGTTGCTTTCAAGGTGCGTTGCGAAATAATCCATTCCGATTTCGAATTACCTGGGCAGCCGAGACTAACGCCTTCCAGGTTAAAACCACTGCGCCGAAACAGTACGTTTTTCATTACCACCGGTTTCGATTCTCTCAGATAGTGCAGGGCTGTTAACACATATCGTCGCTCAGATACTGCGTTAGACCCAACTCGGGCCGTGTCGAGCCAAATAGGGAGGTTGAAGTACAAGGTTGCACATCTCCGTCGTCCTTGATTGTTCTACCACTGACCCCTTAGCAGTAATTCTACAAGCCATGAAACAAGAGCCGCCTGCTGGTACGAAATGCAGAGACAAATTCTTGGTGCAGTCGGTTGCCATCACTCCCGAGAAGGATTTCTCCAATCTTGCGTCCATCGTAAGCTCGATGCCAGCACGCAGCGACCTCAGGCATTCCACTAACTATTCGGCAGTGGGATACCATCGATAAGTCTTTGGTGCAAGAGAAAAAGATTCGTGTCTCTTTCCTCGATCCTAAGAGTACACCTGCCACCGACGCTACTATCACAACACCCCATAAAAGTGCAGCTATGAATGGCGTATGTTGTCCTGTATATGAGAAAGGTGAAAATTCGTAGATTTGCTTACCGATCCATATATAGGGCGAGGCATCACCAGACGCTCCCCCTCCGGCCTATTCATCACCAAGCAACATCGGTGTCGCACAGTCCGAACCTAAGTCATCTATTGAGGAAGATTCTCAACCCGAAGTCCAAGCCAGCCTTGCAGCACCTGTGGCCGTTGCCACTACCAAGAACAGTGAGCCGACTTACGAAGAAGTAAAGGAGCAGCTGCTCCAAGCCGAGAAACTTGTCGCACAACTCGAGAAAGACGATGGCGGGTTACGACAGCGGAAGACGGCTAGTTTAGCAGATGATAAGTCGAGCTCTAAGCCCGCCGAAATCGCGCAAGCTGTACGGGGTACCGAAGGTGTACCGGTCCAAATCACGGCTATCCTCTGTTTGCTGAGTTTCTTGCTTGCGTACGTCTTTTTCTAGACGCTGCACGGCTTCTTTAGTACAGATGCGAGTAGCCTGGAAAAGTCATTCAGGATTACGAATACTATTATGAGCCAGCGGGCTTGTAAGCTATCGCGGGCAGCAGCAGCTTCTGGGTGAAACCGGAAATTAATGATGCGACCGGGTAATAACTCGAGTTTGATAGCCACAAGATTCTGGGGGCCTCTAACCACTTCCAATATCTAAAGGCTCAAATCAAAGCAGACACGAGAACCCAGTCGGAAGCACGGATGCATGAGAGAAGAGGAGGGATCTAGTGTGGCTTGTGGTTGCGGTTGCAAAGGGAGACACGGCCTTCAGGGGTATTTTATTGTGGTTTAAACGCTTGTGCCGCTACCTCCAGCACGCATGTCCTTTTGTTAGTCGAGCGTTTGAAGGTATATATAAAGTTTCTGTATGCCTGTTTTGCTTTTGATTCTTCGTGAAATGTCGGAAATTCTCGTATATCAGGCTCGGCGATACAAGCATGTCGTTCTAAACTTCGCATTGCTTGCCACAATAAAGGCGTGTTTACTGTTTGATCGAGGGTTTCCTGGGTCCCATCGTAATAGTAACTATAAGTAAACTCGAGTTGAAACGTGATCTGATGCCTGTATTGATACAACTTGATTCTGAAGTTAAGATATCTAAGCAAATTCCATGTACGCCCAAACTCCGTTAGTGCATGAAGTGTCCAACGTCTTACCCATTATCCCCTTGCAAGAATGGCTCCGGCATGCCATGAACAGCGGTCTACGCTACGAAATGCTATACTGCGCTGTGCCAAGGGCAGAACTTTTGGATCCGCAGGCTATGGTCTATATACGTCTCATCTGTCTTTGGCTGTCATTATTGATTGACTGCACATGACTTTGAGTTTAAGCTGCGTAATAGTCGGTTTTAAGAGGATTGTAGATGGTAGTGTCGTGCTCCAGATGTCTAACAGAAAAAAAGGAATCACGATTCTAATTCTTCCTCCTTCCACCCTTCAACAGGCTTTTGCTTCTGAGAGCCTTGCCCAACGAGTCGCCCGCCCTCCTTGCGCTTCACACGGCACCGGATACCTACGCTCTCATCAAAGATGAAGCGCCAGAGGACGTATGTCCAGGACGTGTGGTGAGGGAGGTCGGCGTAGAACTCGCGCGCGATGTCGTGGAGCTTGTGGAGGCGCGTCCAAGGGACGGCAGGAAAGTCATGGTGCTCGTTATGTAGGCCAACATTGTACGTCAGGAAGTTCAGGGGCCCGTAGTATGAGTACGTCTCAGGGACGGGGATCCCGTTAGACGGGTCAGCCTGCGCGGGCGTCACGGTCGAGTACACGTAGTGCTCGGCGATGAAGTGTCCCGCTAACGGGTGCAGGCTACCCGCCCAGAAAGAAGAGAATACGAAGTAGAGCATAGACTGCACGCCGAGCGTGCGCAGAATCACGGCGTCGAAGGTGAGCTGTGTGGCTACGTTCAGCGCAGAAACCCAAGTGAAGGGTACCCGGTACACGGCCATGGGGCGTAGGGCGTAGAAGAAGATCTGGAAGGTGCAGAAGAAGGCTTTGCCCAGGATCGAGTCCAGGAAGATGGCCTCGAAGGCCGTGGGTAGGTCGGTGTCCAACCCGTCAACGCCTAGGGATTTGTGGTGCGTCAGGTGGTAGGGACGGAAGGAGGCGCTGTAGGGGATGCCAATAGGTAGGTTTGCGAAGATGGCGAGGAGCCGGTTCGCCGTAGGCGAGCGGAAGGCGAGGTTGTGGCTGATCTCATGGATGGCGAGGAATAGGTTCTGGTTGGCAGTTGCGCCGACGACGTACGCGAGGAGCCAGAAAGAGGGCGAAAAGAAGGGCGTGTTCCGCAAGAGGTAGGCGCAGAATATCTGAATCGAGACTACGAGCAGGACGACGTATTTTGTGAGAGGTTCGGGTCCGCAAAGCTTGGTGACCTGTTTGTTGTAGGTTTCGTGTCAGTGATACGGTTTGTTTCGTCGGCAGAGAGGGGGATTGTATACCTCTGGATGCGCCTTGATGATCTCCAATCTCCTCGTCCGATGTGGCTCCTCGGTGTATGTCCAGAAGAAGTCTCGATATTTGACCTCGACGGGGTCGCGGGGGAGGTCGGCTTGAGCTGAAGCATCGGGTCCTCGTTTCCCATCGAGCTGGATGGCCCTCTCTCTCTTCACTTGCCTCGGAGCGCTCGTCAGCGTTGAAGCTGCTGATGGAGCCATTTTCTTTGGGGAGGGGTCTCTCTGGTGTCGATTTTTCTCTACACGCCCAAAGCAAGTTGTGTCGACGATTCAAAGCCTAGACTTGCGAGGACACGAGACAGTGCTGATTTGAATTGAGTGAAAGGAGTGGATACAGACACAAGCAGCACCTGTCGAACAAGCAGTCAAACAGCGAAAGTGAAGGAAGTGAATGAATGAATCGATATCCTGGTCCCCCACATACTGTAGCTCCCCAATTCCCAATTGGCAAATGCGGTGAAGAGGTTGTTGAGAGAGGCGAGAGAGGGTCTGGCCACCGACAGGATGCCGATGCCTTTTTGGGATTAGTATTGCTGGGATCAAGGGTCGCGTTTAGTCCCGTTTAGTCTCGGTGAGGTCCTATAGGCCAATCATAGCACCCCGCAGGTCCCAATCGAACCAAGCGTCGTACCACAGCGGTGGGCCCATCGAGGTTTTAGGTAGGTAGCTTTTTTGTGCCCTACAAGTTCCTGAACCCCTGATACTGCCCTGACTAAACAGTTGGTTGTGCTACAGCGACTTCAAATGTTGTTATTTGACCAAGTACGGAGTATACATACTTGAGAGTAAGTAGTAATTCAAGTATTTGTCCCGCGATATGGACCAATCTATATACATTAGGTAACTACCTATACTAGCAGTGATGGCGGGAGGAGGATTGTTGATTTGACAGAAACATACTCGACTATGCATTCTACACCAGGGCTGAGGAGAAGCTGGGTCTCACAATCACCATTTCAGTGGAACATCATCTTAGGCTTACCCCGGTTTCTTATCCAAAATTCTCTACGCAAATTTTGAACATATACGAAGTTATAACATAAAGTCATTTCGCATAACGCAAAAGGAAGGCTCTAAGAATCCATCTCCGAATACATATAGGTCATGGTTTCGCGTGAGAAATGTTCGACTAAGTCAAAGCAAGCGAAGCTTGCATGTATTATCTAGGGAAATAGCTGCAGATGACGATAGATTTGATACGTCCGATAAAACATTTCGGCGCCTACCGTCATGGAATTCAAGAGGTAGAAAACACGAGGCATTGAGAATAGAGAAGTCCCTATGAGGCAGTGTTATTAACACCAGACTTACTCAAATTCTTCAATAACCTAAGACGGGCCCTGGGTGGATACTCGTGCTGGGCTGAGAATACTGATGCTTTGAAGAAGATGCATACTAGGACACGGAATATCACGGGCCATAGTACGTGATATACAGTAAGTCTCTTGTTGAAGTTGGATCGGGTTTATCATTACCATTGTCTACTATGGTCCATGACACCTATTCTGGTGTCTTCAACGTTAACTCACCACTAAAGCAAGGATTCACTGCTATAATCAAGGTATAGCCACGGTAGATTTAGGTCATAGCCGGGGTCCCACAAATTAGAATAAAACAATAGTATAGCTAGTATGTAAATAGGTTGGTTGGTAGAGAATGGGGAAAGTGTCAAGCTAACATCGCAGCCGTCGGAGGATGTGTACATATCAGGACTAGGCTACATGTAGACTGTCTGGCACTGCATATACATAGCAACCAAGAAACCCTCCTATATTCAAAGTCTGCAATGGTTCTAGCGGTAGCATAGAAACACCTAGGCAGATAAACAAAGAACGCGGCGGAAGAGGTATTAATATTAAGGCTATAAGCACAGTCCGTTACCAGCACTTGTGGAGATAAAAGCATGAGATTTGTTGAAAAGGAGAAACTTCTAGTAATTACTTTTCTTTAAATCAGATTTTTACGTTAGTAAAACCAAGAATCTACGGATATTTGATGTCACTTTTCGATAATTATAATGAGGGCTTGCGACAGGGTTTGAAACCGAGGCTATGGAACCAGACGCCTATTTACAACACAATAGTCCTTTATGGCTGCCAAGATTTATATAATCCTTTCAGGTCCCTTGATAACTTTGGCGACTAGCCTTACTTCTACAGTTGGACCAGATTTCCTAGAAAGCATTTGGTGTTCTTGTCTAGGCGAAAGTTGACTTCTCTTACACGTGATAAGGCGAAGTGGCTATTGTATTATATTATATGTACGAGCACATTCCCTGGGTATAATCGTCAACTTATATAGTACCATGCAACCTCTAATGCCCTCTTGCACATGTGTCCCGTGTTGAGTAAGTGTCCAGCCGTAAACTGGAATCTGCCTGTATTAAATCTAATAACGTTTAGTACGACTGGCCTTGGAAAACTTCACTTCCGGGCTGCACCCGGTCAAGCAGAGGGCCTTGGGGACTTTTCAATATGGAGTGTTACAAGAAGCAGAACAAAAGAAAAAGCAAGAGTACGGAAGGATCTCTGCACTCCCTCAAGCTACAACGGAAACTGGCACCCAACGATTCTGCCGATGGCGTTCCCCACGGCATCTTATAGCCGATACGGAAAGTTTTTCTATAAAATATGCATGTCAGAATTGACAATCATTGGCACTTAATTATACATTTTCCCAATATGGTGTGAAGTGGCATGAGAAGAAGACCGAGCCAGTTCTGGACCTAAGGCGTCGGGACTATCTACATTGTGATAGGTTGAATGCTGAACGAGGATTCTCAATGTCTATATTAATACTCTATATCAGTCACATGTGAAACTAACCTTACGTCTTTGTGAGAGCCTGAAACCTCAATATCTCGGGAGAAGCATTCTCACCCTCTCTTTATCTCTTTTTCTCTCGGGACCGGGTTATTGGAGGCATTCTATACGTTTTCTTGGATTCCGCTATGATGTGACCTGATTGGGCTGGTGCATGCGAATGGAGGGGCATAATGGGAAGGCAGATAGGAACGTGTAGGTAGGCTGAGTGATCTACATATCATTTTGATATCCATCATGACGCACTTCGCCTAGGCGGATACGTACATTTTATTGGTTTCTGGGGTAATCTACACTGTCACCTTTGTCTATGCTTAGTTCACGGCAATATGCCGCCATTATCAAAGTAACAACATGATACTTGGTTGAGGCTATCTGATTTGTTGTGGCGGACGGACTGATTAGGGCAGTGTCGCGCATAGCCCCCAGCACCGTTCTTTACATCGGGGAGCTCGACGCATAATCAGAGAAGACTAAGGAAGCCTTTCTGTCAGTCAACTAGGCTCAATACTACATAACATAGGCAATGCCCCACGATATTTGGTGATTGCAGGTCCGCATCGCGGCATGTCTAGTTGCCTCATATGTAGCCAGGCGAACCAGGCGACCAACGCGTAGCAGGGGTCATCACCTCTCCCAGATAGATCTTCGGCCTAGCCTGTAGTGGAACGAACGAGCGTGGTAAGCTCGTCATCTATTGGCCGTCCCGTGATATGGGGACTAGCTTCCCAGCTTAATAAGGCACGCTCCCGAAGCTTGCTACATCCTGATGTTGTCTCCTTTCCGCTATGATCAAAATCTCCTAAAAGTAGATGGGATGGCCCTTTCCCGCAAAAGTTGGCCTAGGATTCGGATACTGGTGGTGCCTGAGCGTAATGCCTATGCTCAACTGACACCGCGCTGATTGGCTTAAGGCTTGGCCACATACTCACAGCATGTATTACTCATGCAGACATTCCAGATGGCTACCATCGTGGTCCACACAGTTCGCCTTGGATTTTTCGGGTTATCCGAGGTTACCGGCTGAAATAGAGCTTCCGTTGTATTGCGAGGTGCATGGCGTTTTCATAACAAGCCCAAGACTCGACGCTACTGGCGTCGTGATGAGGTGGAAGGGAGGGACCTGCTGATGAATCCAGCGCGGCGTCTAACGATAACTGGTTTGCTGCCGTGTCAGCTCCGCTCTGTCTCACTGCAGCCCCCATGGAAACATTGGGGCCAGACTGCAACATAGTGCTTGACTTCGCTCGCTGGTCTGCGTCTAGATCTGCACTATCGTAGACGTCTGATGGAATTTGTTGGCCGAGGATGTTTCCACCATAGGTCATGCCTTCGAATCTAGCTGCGGGGTCGAAAGTGATGAATACGAGGGCTTGGACACTCCCTTTGGAGCCATCACTAGTTGCGTAGATTACCGAGCGCTCGTCACCCGTAGCAGCTACACGGCCCTGGTAGCCTTGGATATCAAGTAGCTGCCGAACCCTATCTAGAGAAATGTCTAGCTCTCGCGAATCTTGCTTAGGGGGCCAGATATATCGCTTATTGGGTTGATAAGGGTTATGCACCCCATGGGGCTGCATGGTAGGCTCGCTAACGTACCTCACAGTCTCCAAAATCGACTGTCTCGACGGTAGTCTTACACCTGGCTTCAATCTTCTATAGCCCGTTCGGAGACGTAGCTGCGGCTCGCCGGAGGCGTCCGAATCTGTATCATTAATCAGATCAATAAAGGTATGACAGCATCTGATATAAGCGCAAAAATGCATTTTGCTTCGTATCCATAACGAGGCATCAGGGCGCTCATCCAAATGAGCATACTGAGGCAGCCATTGTATGTTGGAGTCAGACTGTGCATGGTCACGTACGCCCCTCGTCGTTGTATCGGCTCCGAGCCTTTGGTAAACCCTCTGGGTGGTATTTTCGCGGAATATCACCTCGGTTGTGTAATATGTACGCTTGCTGTTGCTCTCGCCATTCAACCATTCTTTTCTACACTCCAGGATAACGATGTCTCCGCTGGCCTCGTCCATCTCCAAGGAGAGAAACCCCCAACGATCATCAATAGGACCTTCTTGGTGTGATCTTCTCCAACTGTCTTCGCTGCCCATCACCTGGAGCTTCGAATGAGAAGGGTCGCTCAAGGGGAAGCGAAAGCAGTAATAATAAGAGCGCCAGTTGGGATCGTCGATTTCATTTAGAGTTCGATTGGAGACGCCGTAGAAATAATCACCGAATATCTCAAAGCAGACTGACGACCCTATTTCATACCCTGCCAAACTTGCCATGTACACTCTGGGGTGAGGGAGCCAGGAGTTGGTAGTCAGATCGTAGCCTTTTAGGGCCCATCTTCTAAGCCCATCAGCTCCCTCCTCGGAGTGTGTGCCGAAGTAGAGAAACTTGTCGTTATTTCTGACGAATATTCTGGCCGTAGAAGCTAGGCGGAACGCCTCAAGGATTTGGCTTGATTGAGGCTTAATGATGAGAAGCCAATTTTCCGTCTCATGCTGAGCGAAAGAAAACAGGCAACTTACGATCCCGGCTGCTTGGTAGAGTACTCTGAACTTGTACTTACGACAAGTCGTTGCCTGTGGAATGGCTTCAGCTATCAGCTTGGGGATATCCACGACAAGTTCCTGATCGGTTGACCCGTGTATGTCAAGTATCCGGAGCCACCTCTGGGGACGAGCTTCGATGACGTAACACAATTTACCGCCGAAGAATGCATACGAATCAGCGCAAGCGACAATACCAACAAGGTAAGGAGAGGCCTTCGATAGCGCCTCGCGTCGCTTGGCGATACGCCGCAACGCCCGTGAATAGCGGCCAGTTTCCATCGCCTCTCGAGCCTCGAGGGTATTCGGCACTTTCGTCTGAGAGAGTCATGTTAATTTCTCTCCGCAAAAGGTATTGGGGAGATCTGATGCCCTACTTACCGCAACCACCGGTTTGCAGAAATGGTCGTCGCGTATGATATACTGGAAGTGCTTACAGCACAGTGACCAGTGGTATACATCCTCGATGTCTAGCTCTTGCACGACGTAGGCAACTAGTTCGTAAGGAAGCCGCTGTAGTCCCGAGACCCCTAACGAAGTAGTCATTTCTTCCGTCCCCCACTTGGCCAGAGATGATGCCCTCCGGAGTCGCGCAAACCAAGAACATAGACGGCCACATCGGAGGAAAGATGGACCTTTGTCTGTAGATATCCAGGTTCGTCGTCCATTGTGTGGCGATTTATATAGGGTTTGGTGTTGAGTGCGGCTCAACTCAGTTTAAGTAAGTTGGAAACAAAACTGATTCATCTCCCTCCGTACGTGACAATTATTCCAACAATGGCAAAGTGCCTTGGGCAGGGATCCCCAACCACCGGGAAGATTGTCAAGGTGTAAAACTAATAAGGGATGATTCCTCGACACGCGCATAGCCTATAGTTCGTGTCGCCTTAAAGGCGATAGGGCACTATGTAGTACTACCTACCTAGGGTAGGGAGGGTCGCCGACGTAAACCACATCTGCACGTATCGTTACATCGCAGGTTAGCCTGCTTCCAGAGCTCAGAAGAGCCTCACCAAATCGATTCCTTAGTGTGAAGTGTGCCTTGCTAACCCTGGCTGCTGATGCGAGAGCCTGCCTTGGATTCTACACAAACCAGTACCAACGTGAATGCCGGCGAATCTAGACGTGGTGCTCGATGTCCTAGGAGTTGGTTGGTCGATGGCCACTGTTAAATAGACGTCATTTATTGTACGTTCTAGCCAGGTTTTCATTCTTTGACCCCAATCCCAATCCACCATTGCCTGCTCCAAAGTCCGGGAAATTTTGAGCCCCCAACACAGGTCCCAGCACACAGCATACGCATTCCGTTATAGCGCGAGGTAGCTAGACATGGTGCCGGACACAGGTTTGCGAGATTGTATCCTATCGACCTACTACTACTACTTTCCTTCCCCCGCCCTTGTGGGGATGTGCTCGGCGGCGGCGGCGCCACCCCTCCCTCACTCATCCATCGGGCAAACCAGCCGTGCCAAATGAGGCCGTTTGCAGGCATTTGCAGGCAGCTATGAGGCTCTGCTATCACACGTGGACACTGCTAGCGTTTCATCGAGACCCCTCACTTCACAGCACAGCTTAAACATTCCCGCTCGCAAACATATCCTCGTTCTGCTCTTGACACATTCCGTCTAGGACGATGGATCAAGGTGTTTCTCCTAGGTAGTCTTTGTGTCCTAGCTAAATTGATTCAGGGGAAGTCGAATAGCCCAACATGCGACCATTCACGAGTCATGTGATGTCGCCAAACAAGCACGAATAGCACGGAAATCTAGTGTCTATGGTCTGCAACACTGCCGCCTCTACCTACATTTTGCTTCATTGATCTGCTTTAGGTCACTACGGCTAATCACTGGCCCCGACTAGATAAGCACAGCCTGCCACGTTCGATACTACATCCGATCATTCGGCTCCGGTTCGGCTGTAAGACGAAGGTAAAATCCCCCCCGCAATACCACCTACGTATAACACTGGCTGCGGCAGCTTGTGTGTATCGATCCCCCTCTTGGACAACACGGTGTCTGATAGGGAAAATTGAAGGAATGTGACGCGGGTCCGCTGTCAGGTCGCTCTGCAGCGGTCAAATCGGCCCAATGGTTACATTGTTGACAGGATACTGCGAAAGATGCTGGCTCCCTCAGCTATCCCTTGCGCCTCCTGTCCCCCATCTTCCGGGAGTTTGGTACATGACGGCCGCGAAAGATCAAACTAAAGCTTGGGAGTGTGGCATAAGTCCCGATAGCCCAGTTCGTCGAATCGAAAACGGATACGAAATGGGCATGTCGAGCCGTGTCGGATAGCACCGACTGGCTAGCTCACCATCGTCGGCATCCAATATACAGGAAGCCAGCGTAACATTCTATGTTCAGCACTGCCACGGCGATCTCCGAGTAATGCATAGGCGGCCGTTGCGAGAAGGTAAGCTTCTGAACTCATCACCGGTGAAGGTAACATGGCGTTGTCACTAGCTGTGGCCCTACACTAAGCACATCCTCTCAAGAGCATCCACGTGTCATAGCATCATCGAAATGCGACGTTTGCATCACTTCGGCAGAGAGTGCTGACTAGGGCGCAAGAGGACTTGGCAAATTCGGCTGAGAAAGATGCCAGCACAATACCAATACTAGACGCCACGATGTATTAACATCTGCTCATTGGTCAGCATGATACGCGTTATATGCGTATCAGCCATGCAATCAATCGTCGCCACTCTGGCGGTCTTGAGGAGATTTTCCTTCAACGCGTAGGCTATAGGGAGACCATTTGCTTCATTGTGCGTGATTGGTCTTATGAAATCGCATGCTTCAAACATATGAGGCTCAAAGGGTAGTATCTCAAGTGATTGGCCACTATTTTATCAATTTTTACCTGTCACATGTCTTTCTGGCCATATTACGCGTATAGTGTCGCACAGCATAGCAAACATTCGAGCGAGGGATGTATCACCTGCTAACAAATAACTTTTCTCTAGTCCGCTGACCGACTTTTACTGATAAGGCGGCTTTGGAAGCTTACGTATCACAAGCCGATCTGTGTGAGACACAAACAAACGGCTCGGGTAAGGAGGCAAAAGATTACCTTGATCTGCCAAGTAATCTACACTTTAATCCCCGGATTGTCCAAAACTACTCGTCTGACCTAGAGGGGAAATCTTACAAAGTCTAGTCTACGACGTGCTTGCTATTAAGCTGGTTCAAAGACGTAGATCTAGACATATCTATACATAGCATGTATCTGGCCAGAAAACTCATAATTTAAAAAAAGAAAAAGAAAAAAAAATTAAGTGTAGCAATGGTGGATAGACGGCCTAGATGCAGCGACTAGAACAACCATTAGTGTTGCCTCGGAACCACGACGAGACTGGTGTTCCTGATATGAACACAATGCCCCCGCGAGAAAAGTATGACTCACGAGCAACAGACGAGGAAGATATGCACATGGAGAAGTAATAGTAGCTTATGACTAACACTATATGCATTGGAACAATAATCACAGGAATAAATTTTTGATTGAAACAGAGTAACGAAACTTACCAAGCTAAAGCTTCCCCAACGACAGCGGACCAATATCACATTAACAAATGAGACTTCGAAAAGCGAAGCAACGCCATGAGAGGAAGCAGATTGACCTCATCTGCTGTTGGTCACTTAGTTATCAAACGGTATGAATTAAGCTTGGGGACGAGCTCGGGCTAGAAGATGACTTTGAATTAACGTTTGTCAAATAGTTGCCCAGGCTTCATGGCGCCTTACCCCCTATTGGAAAATACTGTGTTCTAAAATAGACATGCTAAATATTTCTTGTGTTTGCATAATTTGTTTCTTAGCATAGTCTGAGAGACATAGGCTGCCTTGGAACCCGGATTTAACAACAAAAAGCTCAAGCGGCTGAGGAAAAGAAGAAGTTGAACGGAGAAACCGTATATAGATAACTAAAGTATAGTGTTGAAGATATATCTTCGAATCTAGTATTCATGAGATACTTGCTTCAGCTCCGCCTCACGCCCACCTTACTGAAGCTATAAATACAGGCTGTCTTGTAAGAGATTGGGTTTGGACGTATTGTATAATTTTAAATTTGTCTGCTTGTCTTATCAAGCCACTATCACTTGTCTTCTTCGCGGAACTTGGCACGCTATGCCCCAAAGCTACCTGGGGGCTAGAACTGAGAAGGCTGGTGTTGTTTTCAGCCCCTTTCGAGGAATTTTCGTTAGCTCTCAGTGGCTAAACGCATTGTCTCGCCGTATTCTGTCTTTGTTTTTACCATTAGCTTTGTATACCGCAATAAACCCTGTATATTGGAAAGGAGGCTTCCGAAATGACATCTACCTAAGCTAATAACCATTCTTCCCTAAACGTCTAGTTTAGATAATGTTGTGACTGCAGTCTTGGCGTAAACTCCTTATTCCCTTGACTTAACAGCCTACGTTGACACAGATATTCACCAAAGCAACGCGCCTACCCCTGATACAATGCATGTATCAGTTTAGATCCCAGGCTCTACCCGAATTATTCGATATCTATGAAACCCTCTCTGAATTTACTGAGACTTTTTGTGTATGGAAATGGGTATTGATTACAAAGGACGTACAGTTGCTGGAGCTCTCGAGACCCCGACCATGTTTCCGTGATTTTTAATCCGCAATCTTCCTTTGCGTAGGACACACTGAATAGTACCCTGTATTGAACTGCGGGTAACATCTGTAATAACGCCTAGTTCACAGCTTGAGATCTGACATATAATGTTGGTTTAATACTCATGTCTTTGCTCCATCGTGACGCCTTCGGGCGCGTCTCAAAACTTCATGATGTGTAGGTAGGGTGTGATCATTACTTGCGTGCTCAAGGTGGCAGATTGGTCCCTTTGAAGGTGCAAGAATGGGGAATTGCCAACAGTTCGGGGCAGAGCAGCTGCATATTCATCGGCCCCCTCGGTCGCGGGTATCTTATATCATGAAGGTGGCTCACTGGACTTACTCTTCCTAATTGAAGGATCTGAAGAACACCGTTATACAGTCAAGTCCGTGTTATTAGTTTGTTTGAAATGGATTCCCTCCTGTCTTCTGATCCTAGCTTGGAAGCCCCATAAAGGTAACTCGACGTCATCACAGAATCCCACCCATGATATGGATACGGTGCAGTTTGGAAATCCCCTAGATGAAAAATAATAACAGTGTAGTATCAAGCGATATGTACCAGGGGTACTAAATCAACATATGTTATAATGCGTCCCCCCCCCTGCGGAAAGGACCAAGCCTCATCAGTTCTCAACTAAAATAAAATTCGTACGTCATCCTCTCACCCTACTGAGACTTTGAGGACCAAGGAATGAAAAACCCCGACGGTACACCGGTTCCTATCAGGGTTCGGGATTGTGGAAAGAAGAGCTGTCAATATTCCACAAGCTTCGGAAAAAATGAGAAGAGTAGACGGACGCGCACACACGGCCTAGTATACCTTTTTGGCTTGCACAAGCCATCAAACCTTACTGTAATGATCTGAAATAGGGATTATAGGCCCATGAACGGCAAAACACCATGACTTGACAAACCGACTTCGGGACTCACGAATAGCCTCATGTACACATGAGCAATTAGTTGGCAGTCACTCCTTGAATACAGTTCTGCTCTTCTACGACTTCTAGTGTTCCTACTATACTAGCTTGTCTTCTTGTTAACGTGGCTTCGCACTGAAGTGGATGATGGTAATTTAACTTTGAGAAGAATAAGTGAGATTGGTATCATACACATCGAGACATGATTATATATACTGAACGCCTTCCCTACGCGGTGAAGGCAAGTTATCGCGGTGATACAGACGGTTGAAGGAAATGTAGATGATTGTCTTCATCACTGTCGACGGGCTTGACTCGACTCGCCGTCGGGGGTTTGTGTGCTTTGGTCGTGCCTCCGTTCCCGGTCCTGCTGCTGTTTATCTGTCAATAAATTGGGCAAACTGAGATCAGAGATACACACCCCTCTCACTTACAGCATTCCATCTTGCCTCGTTGATGGAGTGGCGCGTGTAGCTAGGAAGATGGGGCCTAGTTTAGCATTTATTCCGTGCTGGTGTCGGAAGTGGATTCAATCGAAGGGTAGATTTACGCAAATAGAACCCAGGCCATACAAAAAGCGGCAGCAGGTGCCATTATCGTCTAGTGTCCATGACTCAGTAATGCCCATACGCACACTCTCACTCTCTCTTTAATGAAGGGCTTGTCACATACTCGGGGTGTGATGTTTCCTTTCGGAGCCATTTTGGTAACTACCAAGCAGGTCGTGCAAGTTGAAGGTTGTCAACAGCTCTCTGCTAACATGAGATAAATATTTGATACGCTTTATCTTATATGTAGAGCCAACAATGTCTCATCATTAATTCTTGGAAATAACAAATTGGTCTACTGACTGCTCCTGTGGCACCTATCGCTGGTGTAGAATATCGGGTTGGTACCGAGACGCAGGTATCGAGTATTTTCGGATAAGCACGCGACGCGGGAGGGCGCTACCTGAGCAATGTGGCGGCGGCTGTGGCTTTCCACTAAAACTTGCCTAACTCAGGTAGGCAGTAGGTACTTAGTTACTAGATATGTAAGTCAGGTACCGTCTCAGATTGAAAGAAGATTCAACCAACTAACATCTTGCCAAACGAAAACGGACTGGCGCAAACAGGTGACACATGCATCTTGTCTACATTGTGTTTCTCCCTAACGAGTCTCACATAAGTACCGTTGACAATAGTTGGTAGTCAGCCATCCCGAGGGTATTTCTATTTTATCCCCCATCAGCCAGCCCTACCTATTAATGAACGGAGCAGAAACGGCAAACCCACTAATCTCATTTCGGTGGGGCGTTTATACAAGATACCTACTAGATCTGTACTAGGGTTGTGGTAGTATGGGTCAATCCGTCTGTATTGTGAAGTTGTAGAGGTGAAGTCTCTGGGTCTGCCAAGGACCACTGTGGGAGACTGTATACCTGTAGGCTACGTATAGTGGGTAGTGGGTCTCATAATCTGCCCCCAAAAGGAAAACTAATGCCATGTTCCCGTAGTTATATTAAGTATATATATAAAAGGCTAAGGTTTATAGTTAAGGTTTAAGCTTGATTTTTTGTTAATTATTCCAAATAAGCCTATTTTTTCCTATATAATTTTATTAACCTATTTATCCCTTTCTTTTAAAAAATTTATTAATAAAGTAAAAATTTCCTTTTAATTATTTATAGGTAAGTTATTTATTAAATTTATATTTAAAATCTTTATATTTTATAAAATATTAAGTTTATTTACTTTTTCCTTTATTTTATATTTTTATAGCTATAACTTTTTTATAAGGTTAATTTATAGCTTTAATTAAATTAATTAATAATAATTAATAAATATATATATTTATAAATATAGGTTTAAAATAATTAATAAAAATAATATTATAAATTTAAATATTATAATTTTTTATATTTAATTTATATATAAAAGTATTAATTTTTTTTTAAAACTTTAAAAGGTTTTATATAATATTAAATTAATTTAAAACCTATAATAATAATAAAAAGTAATTTATAGCTTTTATATAATTTAAAAAGTATTTAATTTTTAATTTTAAAGTATTTAAGTTAATGTTTATAGTTATAATAATACTTTATAATTATAAATATTAATATAATTATATTTAAAGCTTTAATTTTAAATATTAATAATAAGGTAAAATATATATTATTATTTATAGGATTCTTTTAATTAATAGAATTCTTTTAAGTAAAAATATTTATAATATTAATTAAGGAAAATCTAAATATTAATTTATTAAAAGATTTTTTAATTAATATTTATTTTATATTATTATATTTAAATTATAATTAAAATAAATGGTTTTTTTAATTTATAGGATTTTTTAAATTATAAATATAATATTAAAAAGCTAATTATAATATTTATATAATTATTTTAAATTAGCTATTTTTTTAAAGGTAATATATTATTATATATAATAAATATATATATAATTTAATTTAAATAGCTTTTTAAAAAGCTATAAGAAATTTAAGGTTTTAATTTAAAAGTATAATTTAAGGAATTCCTTAATTAATTAAAAATAAATAATTAATAATTATATTTATTTATTATTTAATTAATTATAACTTTTTATTAAGGATTAATTATTTTTATTTAATTAATTTATAAATTATAATTAATATTATATTATATAAGTTTTTTTTAAAGATTAATAATTTTAAAATAAAATTTATAATAATTATATAATAAGGATATAATAATAAAAATATTAGCTATAAGTTATTATAAGGTTTATAATAATATAATTAAAATATATAATATTTAAAATAATTATTTATATATTCCTTTAGTTTTTTAAGGCTATAATAAATATAAAACATTTAAAGTAAATATATTAATTTATTATAATTAATATAATTTAACTTATAAAGCACCTCTTATAAATTATTAATATAAAACTTAAAAATATATAAATAGTTAATTATAATATTAGATTTATATTATAGTATACCTTTTTATAAATAAAATAAAAGGTTAGCTTAATCTTTAAAGTAAAGTTTAACTTATATTTTTAAAGTATTAAGGACCTTAATAAAATAGGTATTGTTTAAATATTTTTATTAAAGTTTTTTTTTAAAATTTAAGTTTATATAAATAAGCATTATATTAAAACCTATTATATTATTTAATAGGATATTTATATTATATAATTTAAAATTTAATTATGTTTTTATAAAAGGAAGTTTTAATATTTTTTTTTTTAAATATTTAATATAATGCTTAATACTCCTTTTTATTATTAAAGAGTTTATTAAATCTATTAAGGTTTTAAAGATTAAGGTTATTAAGGAAATCCTTTTATAGGAAATAATTAAAGGCATTTAAAACTATATAGGTTTTTTTAAGTTTATATAAAATTTTTAAAATATATTAATTAATATATTTTAAAGTATAAATAATTTTTTAATTTTAATTAAATATTATAATTAAACTAATTATATTAATAATATTAAAATAAAGTTTTAAAATTCCTTTATAGTTTATATAAATAATAAGTATTATTTTAATTATATTAATAGTTTAAAAAGGAAGGCTATAGTTTATATTATATATTTAAAGGAATAATTTATAATTTAACTATTCTTTATAAGTTTAGGAATAACTTCCTTTTTAATATAGTAAACTTTAATATTAATACTATTAATTAAAGCGTTAAAGTTAATAAATAGTTACTTAATAGATAAATAAAAGGTTAAGGTAATATTTTTAAATAATAATTATTTAATTCTTTTATATATTTACTTTTTAATTATAAATAGGTATAGGAATAATACCTTTACTACTTATACCTATTTAACTTTTTTTATTTAATAAGAATTTAACCTAATATATTATAATAAATTAGTTTTTTAATTTTAAAATAGTTTAATAAGAATTTTATAGCTTAGGATTAAAGTTTTAAACTATATAATAAGTTTAATAAAAATCTCCAAGTTATATAATATCTTTAGGAATTTTAAATATTAAATAGCTTTTAATTTATTTTTTATTATAATTATTTTAAAAGAGTTAATAAAATAATTAAGGATAAATATATTAAAAAAGGTAATATAGCTTTTAAATGGTTTAATATTAATATTATAATTTTAAAAGATAATAAGTATAGCTTTAAGGTTTTTAATATAGTCCTTAAATGTATTTAAAGTTATAACTATATTATTATAATATATCTTTATTAAAATATCCTTTAAAAGAAAATCCATTTATTATTATATATATATATTATTATTTATATAACTTATAATAGTATAATTATATATAAATTAACTTATATATATAATAATTATAAAAACCTAATATAACTATAGGTAAAAATACTATTAATAATAAAAAGCTATAATATTAAAAATAGTTTAATAAAGTTTTTCTATAATATAATTAAAAATTTTATCCTATATATAAATAAAATAAATGTTATAAAGGAATATATAATTCCTTAATTTAATATTTATAACTATATAGCCTTTTCTTTTTATAAAGCTATTTAATTAAACTATAACTTTTTAAATAATAAAGATTAAAAATAAAAAGGATATAAATATAATAATTTTATACATTTTATATATATTTATAAAATTTTTAATTATTTCTTTAATAATTTCTTTAAATTTATTATTAAAGGGATATACTTTATAATGTTTAGGAATATTTTTTTATTAATTATCTTTTAATATAACTTTTATTTATTTATTTTAAAGGATATTAATAAATTTTATATTTATAAAGATAACTTTATATTTATTTAATAATAAGGTTATAATATTAATAATTTTTAAAAAGTTATAAATATTAACTTTAAAGGGGTATTTAATTATTTATTTTATATAGGTAAATTTAATATTATAAAAATCTTTTAAAGCTTTAAGTTTTTTTATAACTAATTTTAATATTATTCTTATATGTTTAAATTTAATTTAATAAGCTATATAATTAAAATTAATAGTTATAAGGTGGTTAATAATATAACCTTTTAATAATATAACTTTATTAAAAGTATTATTATAAATAAAAATTTCCTTTATATTTATTATTATAATGGTAATATATATATTAAAGGGATTTTTTTTTAATTTAAAGAAAAGGTTTTTATTTATATTATTTACTTTATAAATAATATTTATTATTTTATAATTATAAGGTATAATTATATAAGGGGAATTAATATATATAATTACCCTTTATACTTTTCCTTTAAAAATAATATTTATAAAAATAATAATAGTTTTATTTAATAAAAAAATATTAAATTTTTTTAATTTAAATACATTTATATTAATTAATATATTTATTTATTATGACGAACATATCAGACATGTACTATGCCGGAACATTGTACGCATTGTAAAGGGATACTATAGAAATATGTAAAATATATACCAATAAGATCATATAACCTATAATAGCCGTTGGTACACATATATTTCCACGTACGCTTATATTTTAGTTTTATCTTTCCTTCCTTTCTTCCTTAGCTTAAAATCTTCGTCTATAGTATTAATATAGCTATACCCTAAACTTCCGATCGTAATACTATTTTAAGCTCCTCCTTTTTGCTAATAAATGCTGTATAAGTATATTACCTATATCTAATCGCTATTATCCGCAATTTATAAATTAAACCTTTTCCCCCCTTTATTATTATATCCTATATTTAATAATAAACAAATGCAACCTTATAATAGACCCAATTAATAAAATTAAACCCTATATCCCTTAGAACTAAAAAGACCCTAATTAAAATAGATAACCCGAAACGATTTTAATAATTGTTATTATATACTATACCCAATATTCCTATAACTAATGAACAATCGACTTAAAACCCCATTCCTTTTATTGAAGAA